CTGTTTCTGTCCCTTGCAGTCACAGCCGGTAGCATTTTTTTCAAACATGATTCTCTTAAGTTTGTGGGTCTTCTATGAATCTTAGTGGGATTCCCTCCATTAGGCAAGCCACACCCACAGATCTCTGAGATACGCCCTCCTCCACCTTGGACTTCTGCAGTTTGGGGCTTACAATTTGGGAGGTCGGCAGTCTGAGATGGATCTCCTTGCTAGAATAAAAGTGTTGGTAGGGTTATGTTCCTTCTGGAGGCTCTTGAGGAGAATCTGTGTCCTTGCTTTTTCCAGCCTTCAGGGGCTGCCTGCATTCCTTGGCTCGTGGCCCTTTCTGGCTGGTGCTGTTCTCCCCACCGCCCCAAGGTCCGGCGCTCTGTAGTGGCCAATGGGTGGTAGCAGAGGGTTTCTTGCCTTAGTCTTGCGGTCCCACCCATGGCCACTGGGAGGTAGCAGAGTGCTTCACGCTTCAGCTAATGCAATTTTGCCCCTGGCCACTGGGCGGCGTTAGGGCACTCCTTGCCTCAGGTTCGCGGAAGGGAGGATTCCCCTGGAAGTTGTTCAGGGGACGGGGATGGGAGATGGGGTGGGTGTCGGTGGGCAGTGCAGGTTGCTGCCCTGGAATGGGAAGAGCACAGCTTCTGCTGCACCTGTCCTCTGGGGATGTTCCATCCTGTCTCTCTTCTCCGTGGTCCTGTGCCTGATGGTGCTGGGCTGGGCTCCTGGGGCGGATACGGGACTGTCAGCTAGGGCTGGCTCGTGGTCCCTTGGCATCTTTTGCTCTGGTGGGTAGTCCTCAAAGGAGTCTAAGGAGACCTCTGAAGAGCGTGTGTCCACAGTCGTTGGTACCTATAGGTGGGTGCTGGTAGCAATCAGAGGTGGTATGGGTGGGAGTGGCCGAGGAAGCAGGGTAAGAAATAGAAAATAAAGAGAAAAATGTGTAAAGCTTTCAGATGTCCCTTTACGAGGCACCCCTTGAGCCTCATACCAGCTTTGTGTGCAGCTCCCACCCTTCACCACAGCCTCCCATCCTCACCTGCACAGGCTCACCACCAGCACAAGGGGACATCAATTGAGCACTTATTCTGTGCCATCCTCGGTTCTACGTGCTTTGCATAATTGTCTGCTTTCATCCTCACAACAGCCCCAAAAAGGAGATACCGTCATTGTGCCCATTTTACAGATAAATAAACTGAGGTTAGAGAGGTTAAGTGACTTGTCCAGGTCGCACGGGCAGTGAGTGAGCAGTACAATCAGAATTTGCACTAAGCCCAGTGGCTCTTACCATGCTGCGCTGGCGCCTGGCCCCTGGATTACAGAAAAAAGAGGCCAAGGTAGGGCTGAAGCCCCAGTGACATTCCTTGACCATGAGCTTCACCATCTCCCTTGCAGCCTGGGGGGCTGACCCAGTCCCCTGCTTTCCCTCTGGTCCTTTGCCCTCCTACATTTGCAGAGGGTAGGGATGGCCGAGCAGGAGCTGGAGCAGCCTCTGCCTGAAGCTCCATGTCGAGAAGTATCTAGTACAAAGACCAGTTTTCTGCAAGATGGCTGAGAGTTGGCGGCCTGGGCAGAGACTATGGTTCAGGGAGGACAAGCCACTTGTCTTAAGACCCCTGTGGCCTGTCACCATGAGTCGAATGTGGATGCAGCACAGGTGCCCAGGCTGTCCCAGCCATTAGACACCTAATGTATGCCTGTACCTGTCTGAAGTTCCTGTCCCCTGGTCTTTGGTGCCGACTCACTGAGAACGGATTCTGAGATGGTGGGGAATAGAGCCCTCTCGGCCACACTAGTGTATACCCTTCTGGGGTGTAGTCTAACTGAGTGGAACAATAGCTTTGATAATGTACAACCCCTTGGACCATCAGTTACACCTCTAAAGTTTTATCGTAAGAAATCTCTGTTTGCCTATGCACAGGTCCATCTCCAGTTCCTCTCTCTCCTCCCAACCCCATCATCCCCTCCATCTCCATCATCTCCCTTACCACCATCAGTTCTGTATCAGTTTTCTAGGGCTGCTGTAACAAATAGCACAGACTGAGCAGCTTAAACAACAGAAATTTATTTCCTCACAGTTCTGGAGGCTGCAAGTCCAAGAATAAGATGTTGGCTGCATTGATTTCTTCTGAGGGCCTCTCTGCTCGGCTTGTAAACAGCCATCTTCTCCCTGGGTCATCACGAGGTCTTCCTTCTGTGTGTGTCTGTGTCCTAATCTCCTCTTTTTATAAGGACACCTGTCATATCGGACTAGAGCCCTCCCTCATGACCTCATTGTACCTTAATCACCACTTCAAAGGCCCTATCTCCAAATACAGTCACATTCTAAGGTACTGGGGGTCAGGACTGCAACATATGAATTTTAGGGGGACACAATCAGCCCATAACGACCTCCGTCTTTATCTCCACTTCCATCATCACCATCACCTCCATCTCTGTCTCCATCTCTCGCATCTTTCTCATCTCTATCATCTCTCTTATCTCATTCTCTTCTCTCTTTATCAAACTCTTTCCCCTCCCCTCTCTTTCATCTCTGTCATCTCCCTCTGTCGTCTCTCTTCTTTCTCTGAATCTATGCCTGTAAAATAGCAGAATTACCAGTAAGCAGAAAACTGGAGACAACCTGAAGTTGATATACAGGGAATCTTAAATTCAACAAATATTTGAACACCTGCTCTTTGAGACACACCATGTCTTAGATTATCATGAAAAGAATGAAGAAAGCTTCCATTCCAAGCTAGTGGGCTGAACTTACACATTTACCTCCTCTTCTCTTCCTCCAAGTCCCACTGAAATGACAGGGAAGATAAAAGGGAACAGATCCATAACAGAACTGAAGATGGATAGGGAAGGGGGGGGGGCGTACACCAGCTACTGCAATGAAACCCCCTGGTTCTTCATGCCTAAATATGGACAACCAAACTCCCTAGATATTTGAGATAAACCAGCAGCGTAACAGAGAAGGACAAAGACAAACAGCATGATCAACAGATTCCAGAGGAAATCAGAGAATAGAAGACAACTTTCAAAAAGTTAAAATATGTAGTTTTATTCATAATAGTGAGTACTAAGTCCTGATGAGGACGTGGAGCAACTGGCACTCTCATACACTGCTGGCGAGGATGCAAAATCGTACAGCCACTTTGGAAAACAGTTTGGCATCAAAGACTTGTACACAAATGTTTATGGCAGCTTTATTCATAATAGCCAAAAATTGGAACTAGCCCAAACGTCCAATGGAATACTACTCAACGATAAAAAGAAATGAACTTGATGCATGCAACAACATGGATGAATCTAAAAAGCACTCTGCTAAGTTAAAGAAGCCAGACAAAAGGTCTACAAACTATGATTCCATTTTCGCGAAAGTCTAGAAGAGGCAAAACCACAGGGACAGAACATGTCTGTGATTGCGAGGGCCACAGCTGTAGGGAGGAGATTGACTGTGAAGGGACGTGAGGGAACATTTTGGTCGGGGTGATGAAAATGCTCTGTATGTTGATTGTGGTGGTGGGAACCCAGCTGTGTACACTTGACCTAAGTCATCAAATTGTGTACCTGTAACTGTTGAATTTTATGGTATGTAAATAATGCCGTCATAAAGCTCATTTTTTAAAGTGAAAATCTGTATCCTCGGAGAAACTCAAAAAGGCATTCCGTCAAAAAGCAAAGTATAGGATGCTATGAAAAAGAACAGGGATAAGATAGAATTTTAAATGATTGTCAAAATACCAATCAAAAGAAAGCTGGAGTGGTTACATTGGTATCAGACAAAGTAGACCTCAGAACAAGGAATATTACCAGATCAAGAAGGTAATTTCATGATGATAAAGGACAAAACAATCAGGAGAATGTAACAGTTCTAAATATACCTAATGACAGAGCTTCAAGGGGCTTAAAACCAAACCTGATAGAACAGCAAGGAGAGATGGATCCACATTTATAGGTGGAGATTTCCACAGCTCTCTCTCTATAATTGATAGAACAAGTGGACAGAAAATCAGTAAGGATGTAAAAGCCATGAATCACTCTGTGAAACGTGACCTCGTTGACATTTGCAGACACTCCACCCCACAACAGTAGAATTAGATTCTCAACCCAACCGATGGACCAGCACGCAGGCGCTAAGAATGAGAATGCAGATATGCAGTATTCGACACGGAAGATGTGCCCGCACGTGGACGTCACCTCACTTCTGGAAGGCCCCCAGGAATGTGGATTTTGCTCAAGTTGAAAGCTGTCCTGTGTGTTACTTAGCATACTTTACCAAAATCAGAGCAGCTGCTGCAAGATCTTCCAGAAACTAAACCTGGGGTCTGGCTCCCCCACCCCTCTGTGCTGGACCACACTGTACCTCCACTCCCCCGCTCTCTGGGCTCATTACAAGGCTTAAGAGAAGATGCCAAAGTGGGCACACACTGGGGCCGCACAGCTGGGAAGTGAATAAAGCGGGTTCCGGAAAGGGAAGTATGGTGTTCCTCTCTGTGTCGTGATGCATGAGCATTGGGAGAGAGATCTTCCAAGATAGAGCCAAATTATTAACGAAGTTACCTCTGGAAAAGTTGCGGCTGTGAATAATTATTTCATTATTTACCCAAAGAAATGAGTTAATTTTGTAAACTACTTAGAACAGTGCCTAGCAGATGACTAACTGCTAGAAAAAGAAATATATTAAATAAGTCTGTCTTCCAATTTTTCTACAATAAACATGTATTACTTACATAATGAATAATAAAAATAATTTGTAAAAGAATTCTGGCTCCATTAAGTCAATAGAAAAAGAAAGGCTTTTTTTTTTTTTGGAAACTCAACCAGATTTGATGACTAATTATCCAGGGGACTGAGCCCAAGGAAGGAGAAATGACCTCCAAGTGCCAAGGGTAAGCCCGGCTGACCACGAGAAAGGCAACCCATAGATGTTCTTGGCCGGGCCCCGTTCACGGGAGGCCTAGTTTATGGGAGGAGTAGGAAAATGCCCTTCTCGGACTAGCTCACACAACGAGGCCGTGGCCTGATTTTCTGAGTCAAAGCTTTATTTGGCAAACAAAAGACCTTCCTATTAATGCAGCCACATGAGAGGAGAAACTATGGCCAGCATCACTCAGTCTCCAAAAGCACCTCCTCCAGAAAACGAGGAGCCAAGAGTCCCTTCCGCTGTCCCTTTGGCGTCATGATGGAGACAGCTCCTGGCGGGCTGACCACAGGGCAGTGAAGCCCTCTGAGATGTCCCCTCCTCCGCGGGGGCAGAGCAGCAGCAGGCACCGGATCCAGGGGATGGGAACCTCACACCCATGGTTCACTGGGCTTCGGAGAGCTGGGCAGGAAGGAGAGACCCCAGAGGACAAGGCTCCGAAGGCCTGTGGTCCTGGCTCCTGGCTCCCTGGGAATCTGGGGCAGGCAGGGGTTCCAGGCTCCGGATGAGGCCTAGCTCAGAGTCACAGGCGGGCTCCATCCCCTCTGAAGCTCAAAGCCGGCCCAGCTAGGAAGGACAGCCCCTCACGGGAAGGCGCTGTCATCGCCCCTCAAAATGGGCTGTGATTTGTTCCAAAGTCTTTCCTTTGGTTTCAGGAACACAGAACAAAGTGAAAAGGACACTGAGGATGCAGAAGGCAGATGCGAGCCAGAAGGCACCGTAGGGCCTGAGCACCTCCTGCAGAAAGAGAGGAAAGGCCATGTGTGGAGGCAGCAGGAGGTCAGGAGCCCTCACACGATCGCGAGCCGAGGCCCAGCCTGCCCTGCCCAGGCTCTGGGAGTACAGGAGGGTCTGGCCCAGTCATCTAGAAGCCTGGGCTGAGCACTGTCCACGTGTGGATGTTCTGTGGCTGGGGAAACTGAGGCTCACTGTGATGAAGTGCCTGCCCCCAGGTCAGAGACCCACTATCAAGTGACAGCCAGGCTCCTGGCCCCAGACTCCAGGATCTGACTCCAAGGCCCACAGACCTGCCCTCTACCCTCAGCTTTGGTCTTGCCCTCTGAGGTTCCTGCCGCCAGAGGAGGCTCTCTTCCTGGAAAGGGCGAGCTATCAGCAGGCTGAGATGGGGCACTGTGACACATGGGGGGACACAGGGCCACTGGCATGGAGGGAAGAGTGAGCAGCTTCCCTGGATCAGAGCCTGTCCACCCTCCCAGCCCAGGCCCAGTGACCTCCCACGTGCCAGAACCAAAGCCCCTCCCTTCTCAGCTCGGCTTCTCTGGGACCTGGGGACTCCTCCCCGCCCTCCTTGAAGCCCTTCTTCTGGCCTCTCAGACACTGTGCACCCCGGGGTCACTGTCAGCTCCTTTGCCACCTCTGTGCTCCTTTGCTACTGGTCCCCTCCAAGCGCCCAGCAAGTAGTTTCCACCCCTAGGCCTCTGTCCTGGGCTTCCCGGAGTGCTTCCTGCTGGGGCAGCCCTGCCTGGGGGGGCCCAGGCCCTGCACAGACGCCAGGCCAGCTCCAGCCGTCCTCATCTCTCATGACCTGCCACCCCTTACCCCAGCCCAGCCTCTTGGTGGCTCGTTCTCCCACCACTGCCCACTGTTGTCCCAGCCCTTGTCATAAAGGTGACCCTGTCCATCTCATTCATTGCTGTCTCTGGCACCTTGAAGAGGCCCGGATGTGGTATGTACCAGGAGACCTGGGGGAATGAGTGACTGGACAAATGGCTTCTGAGCCCTACTTCCCTGTCTGTGTTCCCAGCGTCCAGTGGGGGAGGCCAGCCCTGCTGTCCTTCTAACAAGACAGTCTGAAGGCTCCTGAGTGGTCACAGCCTGGGTTCCTTGCCAGCCCTGGCCTGTCTGTCTCCCCCACACCCCTGACCAAGACAGCTGGTGTCCCAGGATGGTGGGGTCTCAGCCTGCACGCAAGGGCACTGACCTCAAGGTCTTTTGCAATGAGAGTAATTCTGAAAAGCGCTTCTCCATTGAGGGGAGTCCATCAGGGCCTGCACTCACCATGAGGCTGCTGAACTCTTTTGTCACCAGAAAGGCCATGAGCCAGTTGGTAAGGACGCAGACGCCAGTGGCCAAGCCCTTGACGTGCAGAGGGAAGATCTCAGACATGAGGAGCCAGGGGATGGGTCCCCAGCCCACAGCGAAGCCTGTGGGAGCAAGACAGGCATCAGAGCCCACAGAGGCTGGACCCCTGGGGTGGCTGCAGACCCTCTGGGCTGAAACCTCGTGGGGCTTCCCAGCTTTGGGCTGAAGGGGTCTGGGCCCACCAGCCCTGTGCCTTCCTGTTGTGAGGTCTTGGGCCAGTCCCTTCACTTCTTACGTGCCAGGGTTTTCTTTACAGAATGGGATGACGATGGGGCCTGTCCGGAAGGGTATTATGGGGATGAAGTGAAAGGAGCAGAGAAGGGCTTAGCTTGGTGCCTGGCATGTAGTCAGCGCTATAAACACAAAGGTGGGGACCTATCGTTGGAGAGGTGAGGCCAAGTAGGCTGGACGTGCTGGGAGCTGCAGGAACCCAGTGGCAACAGGGCATCCCCAGAGCCCCCTCTCACCGATGATGAAGAGGCACACACTGCCCACCGCCAGCCAGGCCAGCCCCACACTGGCCTCTGCGGGCTCCAAGGAGACAGGCGCCAAGAGGTCCATGTGCGAGGAGTTGCTGGGGGGACCCTGCGTCAGCTTGAAGTAGGCACCAAAGGCACTGGTGCTGAACACCATGATCACACCTGCAAGCGGAGGGTGGTGGTGGGCAGGGCGCTGGGGGAAGCGGCCTGCAGCCCAGGCACGGGGCATGTGGGGCTGGAATCCCAGTGCAGTGTGGCCATAGTAACGTGGCCTGGACACCTCTGAGAGGGGCAGTGAGCAGAATCTGGGAGCCCTAACGGGGCAGCACCCACCCCAGCCTGGCCCCACCAGCCCCGGCTTGGACTTCAAATCTCAGCAAACTCCAAGAAGCTCCCAGAAGCTGACCTTCCCTGGCCCGAGGAAGCAGGAGCTACAGTGACAGTGGCAGCAGCACTATTTTAACCCCCAGGTCCCTGATGGTACCAAGTGCTCTGCGGGCCTCAGCACGTGCGGAGGGCCTCATGTGGGTCATCTCCTGATCATCACAGTTTCACAGAGAGGAAACCGAGGCTCAGAAAGGTCAAGTCATTTGCCCAAGAAGACCACAAGCTTCCGAGTCATTTCACCTCCTGGACCCTCAGTCTTGTCGTCATAGATTGGGGCCCTGATGGCGCCTTCTTACAGGTTCATCGTGAAGGTTGAAGCATGATGTGGTGACGCCGTTAGCACAGGCCTGGTCTGCAGCCAACGCTCAGTGAGAGCTCCCGTTAAATCTCGGTCTTGTTCTCAGGATACTCGGCTATCCTCCTCCCGCAACGTGGTGGCCTCAGCAAAGACCCTCTAGCCTGTAGTGGGGAGCCTGGCCCGGGCCACCCCACTTGCATAGGGCTGAGTCGACACCCTCAGGCCTTACCTGACAAGGCCAGGAGCAGCCTCCGCCCAGCTCTGTCCATGACAAGGGCTGCCACGGCCGTGAACAGCACCTGGATGATGCCCACGATGACCGAGGCCAGGCTGCTCTCCTGGGGAGATGGGCCAAGGTGGGTCAGGCAAAGACCCCAGGACTAAGCCCCAACCACATGGCATCCAGATGAGGCAGGTTGGGGCAGGAGCCTCTTTACCTTGAACTTGGCTTCCTCAAAGATGGTCTCTGCATAGAACATAACAGCATTGATCCCCGACAGCTGCTGGAAGGCCATCAGCAAAATGCCAATGGCGAAGGGCTTGTAGATGCCAGGATTCCTCAGCTGGGCCAGGTGGAAGTCCTGCTCAGAAACAAGGCACCAGTGTTTCTCTCTACCCTCTCCCGAGGGGCACCCTGGCTTTGAGCCCACCATTCTAAGGCCTGGTGGAGGGAGTGAGCCTCAGTTTCTTGTTTTGACCCCACCTGGGCCTCAGGTCCACAGACAGATCCTCGCATCACCTTAGCCTCCCCAGTGGTAAGGTGACAAGATCCTCACCTCCCTATGCCCCTTCCTGATTTGGTGGGGGAGCCACAAAGGTTACAGGGCAAAGAGCCCCGGGTTCCAGCATCCCACCAGCCTCAGGCCTGGGCCTGTGCTGAATGCCCTCCCCAGGCCACTGAACCCTTACCACCATCATGTACATGCTATGACTCCCAATCTACAGATGAAGAAACTAAGGGTTACAGCTGGGAAGGTCACACAGCAGGTAAGTGACAGGGACTCAACCTTCTCCCCTGCCCCACAATTCCGCATTTACAAGCTAAGTCCCCAAGTCTGTGCTTGCATTGCCCTCGGAGCCGCTCGGCCTTTCTCTTCCTGGGATGGTGAGATCAAGGCTCAGGCATTCCCAGCGATCTCCAAGGCTGGACCAGCCAAGCAGGGGGCTGGAGCAGGCCTGTGCTCGCTCGCACACAGGCCAACACTGCCCGCACACCCACCTCGTGTGTGTGTGCGCTTGCAGCCTTGAGAACAGGCTGTGCTGGCCTCCCCTGGCTGCAAAGGGGCAATACCTCACTGTCCCCTCCCCCAAGCCCTGGCTTCTAGCCCCTCACCTGGTGCTCAGCCCTGACAGGGGGCTCTTCCCAGCCCTGCTCGGAACCCCACAGGAACTGCAGGGCAGCCATGGCTTCCTGGCGCTTGTGCTGAGTCAGCAAGAAGCGTGGGGTCTCGGGCATGCAGCACATGAGCAGCAGCATGAAGGAGGGGGGCACACAGCCCAGCACAGCCAGCCAGCGCCACTCCAGGACCCAGCCTGCAGGGGGATGGGATTGTCAGACATCAGAGCCAGGGGGAGCCAGCCTGGACTTTCTCGGGGAATGCCTGCCCCCTCACCAACCCCAGGGACTCAGCTTAAAGGATGAGACCTCACCACCTCTGCATGGCTACCCTCGTGTTTGTTACAGACATTGTCATTATCATTGTTGATAAACGTTGTAGAAACGATGGTGGGTACATCATCTTGTGAAATTTGCTCCATGAATATTTACGTAACCGTTAAACAAAGAACAAGGCGCTCGCTATGTATTGACATGGCGCTGTTTGTCTAAAAGGAAGGGGTGGGAGAATAAATGCACGTAGACCTCATACATGCACAGACTCTCTCTGCAAGGCCACCAAGAAGCAGGTGAGGCTGCCTCCTCCAGAGGAAGGGGGACAGAGTGGGGGAAGCTTTTCACTGACCACCAGTCGAGCACAACTCACAGAAACTGATCAATGCAAGTGCGGATTATGATGAACTGGAGGTAATTCTATGGGCGTATCGACACCCACGTGTCTGTCCCGAATGTCAGTGTCTGTGCACGGCAGGGGCTCTGGCACACTGCTGGCCCCCAGGGCAGCCAGATGCTGGCAGGACTCTGACTGAATCAGAGTGGGGGTGGAAAGTGGGCACTTTTCACGTATCACTTAATTTAATCCCTCAATAGCTTTGGACTCGGTGGGGTTATCTCCAATGAAAGGGAATGTGAGGCTCCCCGGGCGGTGTGACTAGGCCAAAGCCACACAGCTAGTGAGTTCCAGAGGCCGTCCTCCAACCTGGGACTGTCCGATTTGAAGCCTGCCTTCTTTCTGCCCCGGTTCTGGTGAAAAGGCATCTGCCTCCGGAAGCTTCCTCATGCTGGCCCCAGCTCTGACCCTTGGGTCCCCTGGGACCCACCTCCTTCACGCTGTGAATCCAGTACTGATATTTCTGTGGGAGCCAGGCGTGGGCCCTCCAAGCTCCTGGGCTCAAGATTTTTGGGGTGCCCCATCACCCCTGGAATCCTCAGTTTGTCATTACACAGTAAGCTACCGACCTAACCAGTCAGCCCTCCCCACATCCCTGGAATGGGCTGCTGCCCTAAGGAAGATGAGGACGTCACCTCCTCCAGGTTTCCCTGGAACTTAGTCACAAGACCCACAGATCGCAGGGTCTCAGGGAGGCAGTACCTGACCTTGGGCAAGTCTCTTGACCTCTCCAAACTTCGGTTTCTCTATCTATAAAACGGCCACTCGGCCATTAACAGGGATCAAAAGAGAGAAGGTGAAAACTCTACCTGCCAGGTAGGCTAGGAGGATGCCTGTCACGACCATCAGCTGCACACAGGAGCCGAGCAGCCCCCGCACTGCGGGGTAGGCAATTTCAGAGATATAGACCTGTAGGGAATTAAGATGAGACTTTACCTGGGGTCCAAGAGTTCTTACAACTGAACAGCCTCAGCCATTCAGAGCTGAGGGGAGCCCCGACTGGAGCTGCTGCAGGCCTATTGGGCCCCTAATTGCAGGTCCCAGGTCAGCAGACCCCTCCCCACACCTCCCCACCCCCCACCAAGTGGTCTGCAGCAGGTGTTTAAAGGGGATTAAGGGTATACACGTGGCTGCTGTGTGCGTGTATGGAGAGGGCACAGAAATTTTCAAAGTTTCCTTTAATTATATGCATAACCTTGATAAAACGCAGATTCGGAAGCAGTAGGTCTGGGGTGGGGCCCAAGGTGCTGCCTTTCTAACTAGCTCCGGTGACGCCCAGGCTGCTGGCCCGAGGACCACACTTTGCGTGGGGCCCTCGGAGTGAAAGCAGGAACTCTCCCCTCAGTCTCCACCAGCGATGCCACTGCTCCCTCTGGGCTCAGGGGGCCAGAAAGGCCTTGCATACTTCTAGGTTATTCCACACCTTATGCTCATGATTCAGACAGGTGTGTTTTTGCCCAGTAAAAAACCCAAAAACATAAAACCCAACCCAGCTGCTGCCTGCTGCCCAGCAAATTCGGGTGAAATGAATGGCAGGTGCAAGGGGTGACCAGGGAGGGCCCTGAGCCACTGCTTTCCATCTTGACCACGTTGGGTGTAGCTGGTTGATCATACAAGCACGTGGCCAGCAGCAGTCCACTGGTCACCCAGCCACGCCAGCTGCCAGGCCCCCGTCCTTCCACAAGCCAGGCCAGAGCAGTACGAGCAGTCTTACTGAGTCCTCACAACCACCACACGAGGCAATGCCATTATTCCCATTTTACAGGGGAGGAAACTGAGGCGCGGAGAGACGCTCTGCCCTCGCAAATGGCAGAGCCGGGATTTCACCCAGGTGTGTACAGCCCCAAAGTCAGCCTGGACAGGGCTGGGTCAGGAGACGGTGAGGGGGAAGCAGCTGGAGGTCTGGTTTGTGAGGAGTGAAGGGGACACGCAAGTCCCAGCCTTTGCTCCTGAGGACAAACCAGAACAGGATTTTCCTGCTAAACTGTAGTCAGTGGTCTGAATGACAAGGGGAGATCTTGGCCATACTGTGAGGCTTCTGTTGCCAGCCACAGATGCTATCTCATTTGGAGAGCAAAAGAGAGGCCCACTTAAATGGCACAATCCTGGGTTTGAGTAACAGCTTTACCACTGACTGGCTGTGCCCTGACAAAGGACCTCACGTTTCAGATAAAGCAGATAAGGGGCAGCGGCCAGCCTGCCAACCCAAGCCAGCCAAGAGGGGCCAGCCAGCCAAGAGGGGGCAACCAGGGAGAACAACGCCCCAGGTCTGCTCCTTCTTCGCGGTCCCAGGGCACAAGGCTGGGAGACACTCACCGGGGCCACTAGCGAGGCAATGCCGCAGGCCAGGCCGGTAAGGAGGCGGCCACCGAGCAGCATCCACACGTCCTGGGCCGCGGTGATGATGGCAAAGCCGGCCACGAAGGGCACGGTGCAGAGCAGGAGGCTCAGTTTGCGGCCAGCGCGGTCCACGAGCCAGCCGCCCAGCACGCCCCCCGCCGCGGCGCCCAGGGTTACGATGGCCTGGGGGCGGGAGGGGCGACCGCCGGGTGAGCAGGGGGCGCCAGGGGGCCGCGACCGGACCTGGCCCTCCACCCCCAACCCCCAGCGGGCTCGGAGGGAAGGGGATGGGGGTCCCTGGATGGAGGATGAGAAGGCGACCGCTGGCAGGGGTGCGGGGACGTCACTGGTCGGAGAGTCTCAGTGCCCGCCCGAAGCAAAGCAGAGGGAGGGTCTAAGCGCCGGTCCGAGGTGGGGGACGTGGAGGGTCCCAATGACCATCGTGGGGGAGGGCGCGGAGGGTCTCAGTGACCATAGCGGGGGAGGGCGCGGAGGGTCCCAGTGACCATAGCGGGGGAGGGCGCGGAGGGTCTCAGAGACCATCGTGGGGGAGGGCGCGGAGGGTCCCAGTGACCATAGTGGGGGAGGGCGCGGAGGGTCCCGGCGCCCGTCGTGGGAGTGGGACGAGGAGGGTCCCAGGCGGGGTGGAGGGTGAACCCAAGGCCTCACCCCGAACCAGGATGCGGCGGCGGCGTCGAGGCGCGGGGCCGGGGGCCCGGCGCGCTGCAGGCTCGGGATGGCGGGGGAGCTGTAGCCGAGCGCGAAGCCGAAGCTGAGCGGGCCCAGGGCGGCGGCGAAGGCAGCGAGGAAGACGCGGCGGCCGCGGGGAGCGCTGCGGGGACAGGGCGGTCGGTGAGCGGCGCCGGGCTGGGCGCAGCGGGAGGGCGAGGCCGCACCACCGGGGCCGGGTCCCCCCGTCCGCCGGCTCACCTGCCGCCGGGCCGCCCCAGGAGCGGCTGGGTCTCCTCCGGGTCCTCAGGCGTCATGTCCGCGGCCAACGCCTGCTCCGGCCGCCCTGACATCTGAACTGCCACAGGCCCCGCGAGTGCTGCGGGCCACAGGCCCCGCGAGCGCTGCCGGCGCCGGCCTCTCAAGGCAGAGCAGGCCAATGTGCGGTGAGGGGCGGTGAGGGGGCGGGCAGAGCGGGAGCAGCCAATGGAAACGCAAGGCGGGGTTAGCGTCTGCGCTGGGAGACGCCCTTCAAATCAAAGCCGACCAATGGAAGCAAAGAGCCGGTCGGCGAAGCGCGCTGGAACCGCCCCTAGAGCGGAGCTATCCAATGGATATGCGGGGCGGAGTTTGTACCTGGAGCTGCCTCTCGGCCTGGATCACAACCATCCAATAGGAGTGTGGTACGAGCCCGGAGGCGGGATCAGAAAGCTGCCTCGAGCTGAGCAGGCCAATAAGGGTGGAGGGCTTGTGCCTGGAGCCGCGTCTCAATCGAGCTTCAACCAATGGGGCTAGGAGCGGGACGACGGCGGAGCACGTGGGCCGCGCCCGGGACCTTCCGCACCTGCTCCTGGCAGCTGCAACTGTCCTCCCTGGTCGGGTCTGCGGTTCCTGCTCGGTTAGCCGCTGCCCTGGGGCCTGCGTTGGAGGAGCCTGGCCCACCTCTGCCCACTGAGAGCCGCAGGGCAGAAGGTCTCCATACGACTGTCCTGGGCTGCTCTCTTCTCGGACTCTGAGCCTGGCCCGGCGCTCCAGCGGGGCTGCTGGGGGCGGAGGCGTGGCCCTGCGCGCCGCGCCCCACCTCGCCGGTCACGACTCGGGGCCCCCGGATTGCTGGCGGCTACGGAGCCGACAACGACTGGGGCCTCCAGGTGCTGATGACCTGTGTGTGTGTGTGTGTGTGGTGGTGTTGGGGGTGGGGGGGGTGCTCCCCATGCCGCATACGTGTGACTCATCTGGGCTTAAATGGTGAGCTCCAGCCTCCCTAAATTCCATTCACTTCACAGGTAATCCTGACTCTTGAATCTTTTCATACCTCCCCACGTTGAGACCAGGCAGATGTTAATAGCCAACCTCTCTTGCGCATCCAAATTACTGCTGGAGATGAGGATGATGAAGTCAGGGCTCTTTAGAATCTGGCCATTGGTACCCAACACCCTCTGGGCGCAGGCAGCTGCGGTGGAGTGCTGTGTGATTCTAGAAAGAACCAGGGCTATGAGAGTAAGAAGCTTGGCTTTGAATCCTTTGCTGGACTTCTGTTTCCTCATCTCTAAGTGGGGATGACAGTATCTATCTTCCAGCAGAGTTTTGAGTAGGGGCAATGTATAGAAAGGACCAAGCACAGCGGAAGCCCTCAAGTCCTAGCCAGTGTGATTAAGATAGTTTGGGGGCCGGCCCTGTGGCCGAGTGGTTAAGTTCCCACGCTCTGCTTTGGCGGCCCAGGGATTCACCAGTTCGAATCCTGGGGGCAGACATGGCACTGCTCATTGGGCCATGCTGAAGGGGTGTCCCACATGCCACAACTAGAAGGACCCACAACTAAAAATATAAAAATACATAACTATGTACGGGGGGGGGGGCTTTGGGGAGAAAAAGGAAAAAAATAAAATCTTAATTAAAAAAAAAAAAAGTTGTTTCATCCAGTGCTTAGGGGACGGCCCCTCTGTGCTTCCACCGCATCTTGTGGAATTCTCATCAGACCAGTTATGACTACTTTGTGACCACCTGTTTACTACTCTCCATCCCCCAGTGGACATCACCTTGTCTTCTTCTGGACAGTGGGCACTCAGTGTTTGCAGAGTGGATGAATGCCTCAGACTGCGTGGGCGGACTGCTGCATGTGGAGAGGCTTATGTAGACTGGATGCGCCAGTGAGCCCAGTGAGCGCCAGCCAGCCCTCTGAGCCAGGGACGCCTGCCCTCTGGCTGGTGGTCTCCCTCTCCTTGAGTATGCAGCGTTCACACCTTGGCCTTTGTAAGCAGATGCCGCTGCCGGAGCAGCCTCCCGCCCCTTTTATAAGCTATGCACATCAGTCTGGTTAGTAGGGCCCGCCTCTTGCCCTTTCTACATTCACTCCTCACAACTGTGACTCTTGTTGAATCCTGGGGGGCTCTGATGCTGCCAATTTCTTTGGAAGAATGGTTTTATGCCCTTGGTTTTTCTATTCCAGGCTGAGAAGCAAGAAAGTTCAGGAAAAAAAGATGATGGGAAAAACATACATATAAGGTCAAAAAGCTGACAAATTAGTTTAACATGAAAAACACCAGCCAGATCCAACCGACACAGGGCCTGGCTCTCTAGGGTAGACAGGGAGAGAGGAGAGCTCTGGGGTCAGAGAAGTCACAGGTTCAAATCAATGTCCCTTTCTGAGCCTCAGTTGCCTATGTGAAAGGCAAGAATAGTAAAACCTAATTCACAAAACTTTTGGTGAGGTCGAGATCCAGTACGTAGTGGACCTCGTGTTTCCCCCTATATATCAAAAGGGCATAGAAAACGCAAAAGAAGAATGGGAATGCGGAATGCTGTGGAGATAATGAGAAGACACATGTGGTTATTAACACCCTACCCGGGCAGCCCTAAAAAAAGCACTGTCTTTATTATGCTTGCCTCTTGCCTTCTGCTGGAGGGAACCAGGCAGCCCTCAGCTTGGAGTCATCACGTTGAACCGTTTGTGCACTATGCAGAGAGGGGAGCTCTCACCACAGTGTGCGAAGCCCACAAGGAGGTAGGATCCCAACTCCTGTGAAATCTGTGAGGTCAAGGTCTTGTCAACCACAGCTCTCTGCACTCACAGAGAAGACCTATAGAAGAACTCCTCAGAGCCACTTCAACAGGGGAAATGATTTAAAGTTTCTTTTGATGGGTAATGTAGGCAAGAAGAGATGTAATAAAATGGAATCCATCAGAATAAAGCCAGGGATGAATTACCTGCTTCGCACAAATTAAAATTTTTACACTGCCAGTGAAACTGGTCTTCCCCCCTTTGCTCTCCCCTGGCTAGAGGCTGACATTTCGCTGTGTCACTTGCACTTGGCCAAACCCACATTTGCTGCTCAGTTTGAGGAGGGGGCCATGGAAGGCAGATAAATGACAAGAGGGAAGATAATCATTTGGTTCGTGTGAAAGAGCAAAGCAGACCCGAACGAGAGGAGGGAATTTGAGAATGATGATTTTGATGATAAGGAGTAACTGTCCCCTGGTTATATGATTTTATAGTAACAATAAAACCAAACAAAATAATCATGAGACTTAACAAGCTCCTAGACCTTATAATTTTTTGTGAGACACAAGGAGGAAGAAGCAGGAGCTTCTAAGATCCAACTACTCAGCTTTTTTCAAAAGTCTCTAGGCAGGAATGCAGCTGGTTCTAATCACAGTGAACTGAAACAGTAACAGGGGCCAAAGGTGCAGAAAGAAAACTTATTTATAATAAATTTTAAAGGCAATGGCTTTTCTTTATAAAAGAAACACATTACGTGACATAAATCAAAACTGTAATGAAAAACTAATTTTCCTATCTAAGTATATAAAATATAAGAGAAGCTTGCAGTAAATAAGAATGAACATTTTTGATTTATTCAAAGTTTCAATCTAAAACCTCAATGAAATCTACCACCTTTATTACAAGGGGACTGATGGTTCCTGAACAGAAAGAAACAAAGGTCAAGGAAGATGGCACCGGACACTGGAGAGTGACCCAAACTGGCCGAGTGTGCAGAAGGTTTGGTCCAATAGATCACGGACAGGCTAAAAGCCACATTTTGTTGAGAAATGACGTCAGAACTGGTTAAAGAGTATAAACCTCCATAAGAAAATTAAAGATGGCGGACTGGATTCGGGCTCTGTTTACTTCAAGTCAATGATGTCTTCATCCGAGGAAGCCGTGAGCTGAAAGGGGCTGCTGCCCCAGACTGGGCTGCCTTCTCTGTCTGCCATGGGCTCCTGCTCAGAGCCTGTCGAGTGGTAACGCCCCTCGGGATTGGCTTCGGAAGTAGAAGGACTTTCCAAGGAAGCCGAGGTGATCCTGGAAGAGAAAAGTCACCGTAAGAGGATCACTGCTTTTTCAGTGGGAGCACCACTGACCTGAGCCTATTCTCTCTGGAAGGTTCCTGCTCATCGGAGCTCAGAAGCCTGCCTTCCCCCACCCCCTACCCATCATGGGGAAGGGGGGAGGAGCAGGAGTCACCCCCCACTCCAACAGAGCTTGGGTTCTGCAGTCAGACAGTCCTACCTCATGCGTTGTTGTGTTAAAATAAAAAACAAATGGAGACCAATCTTGAAAATTCCCTGAGCAGACAAAACCAGCTTAGTCATATGAAGTTTAATTTAGCTTATTTTGCAAGACTAACTTGACCTGGGTCATTTCTTGCTTACTCCTCTGGAAATCATAAGCAAAACTTGTTTCCCAAGGTTGATATGCGGTAACCACTGAGCAATTCCCTATCATTTAAGAAATTTCTAATATTATAACGAATCTCTGTGAAGAATTGGCAGTCACAGCCTCCTCTATAGAAGCCGCTTCATAACGACACACCCCTGAGCCTCATGCCATGTTTTGGTGTGAGTGCCTCCCTTTGCCAATGGTCTTTTTGGTGTGTGCACCATAAACTTTTACGAATGACTACTTCAGTGTGTCATTGATTTTACTGTTATTTATGAACTTTTGACAGCTGTGAGTTTTAAAGGCCAGTGGTGACACAGAGGAGGTGTTTGTGAGGCGTTTTTATCTTTCTAAAGTGCAAATCCGGATAATGTCACTCTGCCTAAAGGCCCCCACCATGGCTCCCCATGGCCTGAGGACAAGGCTGAAACTCCTACCCACAGGCCAAAGGTCCTGGCCCTGCTGACCCCTCTTGACAGGTGCAAAACCAGTTTGACCAAATTCAAGCTGTTCATTCCTTAAACTAGTACTCGCCCCTGCCCCGCTCTGTTCTCTGTGCTCAGGCTGATCCACTCCTCTCTCTCTCTCTGCTGGTCTGCTGAAAGCTCAGCTTACTGCCACTTCCTCAAAGAAGGCTTCCTTGACGCCGCCCGCCCCCCCCCCCCACCCCGCCCCCAGCCCCGAGCAGACCTATCCACCACCCCCATTACTTATCTTCTTTTCAGTTTCCTTACAACACCTGTCACTACTGGAAGTGATTTAATTCACTTTTTGTTTACAGGTTTATTGTCTGTTTCTCCACACTGGGATGTGCAGTCCATGAGGAAAGGGGCCTTGTCACGTAGGAGGGCTCAATAAAAGTTGGTGGGATTAAAGCATGCGTGCATGCTGCCCCTCTCTCGGCCGGGCTAACGCTCACTTGATTTATGGGGGTTGGCTGGGCCCTTCCTGATGTTTGAGACCCTCCCTGCCCCAGGTGTGGGGTGCACGGCACCCCTCATCCTTCTGCATCACTTGCCACCCTGGGATGTAATTCCTAGGATGTCCTTCTTGGCCTTCCCGACTGGCCTGTGAACCCCGTGAAGGTCATCTCCATATCCCCAACACCCAGCTCAGTGCCAGGTGCTCCAAGAAAGTGTGCTGAATGAATTCACGGAGCCATGTGCCCCCTGCCCTCACACAGGAGCATGCATGATGATGCCTGAGGGACACAGAGAATCTCAGGGGACAAGTCAATGGGATTCAACAAATATTCATTGACATATGATACTGAACTGCCATCCAGAAAGGCTGTTCCTATTTCGAGTCCCACCAGGAGTATTGGAGAGTGCTTACTGCCCATCATTCTCAACGTATTTTGATGAGCACTTGTTGGATTGCTAGTGAGGTCGCCCATTTGTCTGGGCCCCTCCTGGGTGGGCATGTTCTCTGGGGATCCTCTGAGAGGAGCTGGACGCTGACCCTTGGCTGTGGCTGGTCAAGGGGCCAGCCCTTGGGGTCATCAGTTGACAGAAAGGGCCTCGGGGGCAGGGCTGGGACTCAAAAGGCTGCTCCCCTCTTTACCTGTCGCTGCTCGTTGACCTCACTGTCCCTGGCTTGGGGCCTCCCTGGCTTTCTAACCGCTTCCGGGCTTTTGACTTCGCCTTTGGTGCTCCTTCTGACCGGGGTCCACCTTCGTCGGAGAGGCCTGGAGTGCAGGGGAGAATCAGAGGTCAGAGGGCAGTCACCACAGGGCTGCCCCAGAGACAGAACACACCTTTTTCTTGGTTGAGTATTAGTGCATTATTGGGCTGCAGTCAGGATGAAAGATGATAAAATATATATTTTTAAATAATTGGTTTTCTTGGTAGAAGGTTGTTTTTCTGATTATAAAGAATATATGTATTGCAAAAAAAAAGACTCAGAAGAGTCTGTCTACCACTGAAACTATAATTCTCCAATTCAGATGTTCAATTTCTGAAAAGCACGGTGGTCTGTAACAGTGGTTGGCAGATTCATAGGGAATCGTGGGTTAAAAATAGCCATGCACACACTGTAAAAGCACAGTGGAAGCCACCACCTCTAAAGCCGACCGACTTTGCCAAGGTCAAAGCCTGCCTCTCAGGTGGCCGGATCCCCTTCTCCAGTCGTTCAGGAAACGTCACTGCAGGGCAGGGGTGTTAAGGCCAACTGTCCTCGCAGTTTTAGGCCACGCAGATCCCAATTCAAGCTTTCAAACCACTTCTTCCTGGTTTAACACATCGCTTCCATTTTGAACCAAAAGCTCTCTAACAGTCTAGCCTTTCACAATTATCACGGGGCTTTGTCTTTCTCTGGTCTGGCCCCCGGCCTGTAAACCGAGGGAGAAAGGCGTAACCAATATCTTGCATCTGTACCCTCCCCACCGGTGTGCCCCGTGGTCTAGGGGCTGTGAGAAGTGATAACTGAACTGCAACACAAACGTGAATTTAAACTTCTGGATAGACAAATATAAAATATCTGAGAAGTACAGGATGTCAAGCCTTCTAGACTCTTTTCTAGGAGATTGGACATATTTAGATACATCTATTTTAAAAATTGTATCTGGCTAGACATACTGTTTACAAACTGCCTGACCATGGTTTGGACAGCTCTCCACACCAATGCACGTAGATCAACACGTCATTGTTGGTGGGTAAACTGCATGGCCTTCCTTGGTGTAGGTGCACTATAATTTATTATTAGTTCCTCATTAGAGGAAAGTTTCTTTTTAACTCATTGCTTTTGAGGATGATTAATATCCAAAGATAAAATCAGCTGGTATATTTACAGTGAAAACACAAAAATCAAGAGCCATTACCCAGCAGCTCCCTGCGGGTCCTGCTTGCTATTTCTTTAATCTCCATGCGGGACAGGGACAAGGAATGAGTGACAGGAATGGCAGCGATGCCAACGCCGATGGAAGTGGGTGGGGTGATGACCTTGGAGACTAAGGGCGATTTCAGAGGTCGCTCGATGCTTCTGCCAACAAGGTTTCTGAGTGGAATCTTGTACAGATTTTTTGACTGAATTTCACCTGAAATATGATTAAGAGAACCTCAAAACTTGAAGAAAAGTTCACATTATTTACAAAAGGATAATTTCTGGTTCCTCAACATAGCCGGCATGAAGGAAGGTTTTATGTCGCACGCTGATCTTTCAGGTCTCATTAGGAGCAATTAAGTGAGGGTGCCTGACAGCCTTGTTTTTCAAGGGCATCGTTTTCAAGGGTAAATTGGATAAAGTGCCCCCACTTCTGGTTACGCTTGCATAGAACAAAAGAGTAGACGAGAAAAGCGAACAGCTGCAGCCCAGCCAGCAGCCCAGCTGGGCTGCTTGGGGAGCTCCGTGCTTGATCAGAACAAGGAGCCATAAAGACGACTGATGTGGTGAGAAGTTGGGAAAAGCGCCATGTTCAGAGCGAAGCGGTAACCACAGCAAAGGCCTCTGGGATTCAGGGGCAAAGCCAGATAGAGTGAAAGACTGGGTGTGCTGAGTAACGTATCGGTTTGACGGCTAGATCCTTTTAGCTATAAAAACCCGCCGTATCGTTAACATCCCTGAAGGAAAAATAACTTTGCTGTCTAGCCCTCAACTCCCTTCTCCTCGTTGAAATAATTGTTTCCATAACCGGATTTTTTTTTTTCTTTTTGGGTATCACAAGGTTTCTTAAGAATGCCACCAATGCATTCAGACTGCAGGTTTCTTTACGGCTTTAAATAGTGACTTCCCCGCATGTCGATATTTGACAATGAACTAGAGAAATCAGAAGGCATTAAAGATATCTATTAATAAGACAGTAAAAATTGGACTTCACCTTCCCCCAGGGAAGAAGGAAATACTGGAGTCTCTCGGCCCGGGGGTGTCTGAGGAGAGTTGTGGGCGCTGGTCCCCTTGGAGCCGCCTCCAGACGAGACCTCATTCACGGCAGCGGTGGCTGTGAAGTATATATCCGACTGAAAAGAAACAGAAAGCGTCGCGATCTGCTGGGGTTACACGCCCTGCGCCACGGGCCCTCCCGTCATCATCGCCGCCCGAGCTTCCACTGTTCCTCAAGCTCAGCTGCTACAGCCTCGGGGCGCAGGCCCGGGGAGGGGGCTTCCAGAGGAAAGCCCTGACTGCACAGTTCAGAGTTTTCCTCATCTATTTGTTGGTAAACAATAGAAAAGAGTCAATTCCCCACACACCTTCTGCAAAAACAAAACACATCACGAATTTGGCTCACAGGAGTCTCAGGCACTCGGAGCGTTAGAACTCAAAGGACCTGGGGACTCAGTCCAGGCCATTTTACAGATGGGGAAATGGATCCTTCACTCACTGATTCAGCAAACACTTGCGCACATCTATACTGTGCAGGCCTGGGTGATAACGCAGTGGTGTGCTGGAGGCAGCTTGTATTGACTCATGAGTCCCGATTTACGTGCCGATTTTCAAGGATTTTGCATGTTGGCTGTTAAACACAGCCATTATTAAACTTAAAAAAGATTCTATCGAAAACAAAGGTATTAAATATCAAAATGCAACCATTCCTAATTATTTTACTACGTTTGCTATTATCTCTGCTCTTGAGGTTGTTTGCATCAATGGTATCTGCATGGTGGAAATACTGTCTACTAGTGGCTACGGTACGTCTCCTCCCAGCTCTGTGTTCCATGGTGTCACATGGGACGCTTGAAACCAACTGGCGGGACAATTTACGCCATGGGAACTGGCAAATGCTACAAATCAGAGCTTCATTTGTCGTTTTGTTGACTGTCTAAACAAAGCTATGGAGAAAATGTTAATAATGAAGATTAAAATTAAATGTATCAAGTCGAGTGCTGAAACAGAAGTTTTGGTTTAATGACTGATTTGTGCGAGGGTGAGAAACAGTTTAAGAGTAGATCACATATTGGATTTAATGACAACAAATTTATCGGAAAAAGAATTAATGGATTGAGATATAACTCCAGCTGTAAAATCATGGTTGGACAGCAACCATGGGCGGGTTACGGATAAAAGAATTCAGCAAAAATTAACAAAAACATTTTGTGGGAGCCAATTGGCTAAACGGACTTTAAGATAAAAAGCACTGTATATTTTATTATTATTTGTAAATTGTAAGATATTTTAATTTTTATGTCAGCAAAATTTATACTATGCACTACATCAACTAATGTACGTATATACACCACACACACACCTATTTCCCGGGCAGCTGGTGGTTAAACATTGGCTAGCATGCCACTGGCGCTGTGTTGGCGAGTAAGACGCTCAGTCCCTGCTTTCACAGAACTGTCCGTGTAGTGCGGAAGCAGACAAATACGTGGTATTTGTATACACCCACCACCAAATGTGAGGCATGTTGGGAAGGAGAAGGTACCACAGGGGGTGCAGCCGGGGGACCAGCCCAGGGTGGCAGGGACCAGCCCAGAGAGGCACGGCCAGGGAAGCCTGTGTGGGGCTGACTCGGGGGAGGGGACTAGAGCAAGACCTCCTGGATTGTGCGCCAGTGATAGAAGACACCTTGGGAAGTCATCTTCCTTCCTGCATCCCTTGGTTTTGCTCCAATTTTGTGTTACTAGACATGGATTAGTTAGTTAGTTATAGTCTATAGGATAAAAATTCAAATTGAGGATAGAAAGCGGCAAAGGAAGAAAGTGATATTGCAAGCTCTTTCTTTTCTAGACTTGGACTGTCCTTCAGTGCACTGTGACCACTGACCTTGTCTCTGATCAGGGAGTTCTCGTCTCAGCTGAGTGGTCCCCAACTGCCACCAGCACCGAATGACTCTCTTAACAAAACTAAGGAGAGGCATTTTGAAGCCCAAGGGGCCACACATAGAAACCCAACCCATGAGTCTGTTTTCAGCTCTTTCAGATTCCTCCTGGCACTTTGACACACAAGCAGTCTTGTCATCATCAGCCTAACCCGATGAGAAGAAATAAAACTCCAGTTCTACTCACCCTGCAGGCCACGAGCTGCAGCTGAGGCACGACCGCCGTGTGGACCAGGTTCCCGTTCACCACCAGGCGGATCTCCATGGAGTCGGTGGTGAAGGCCAGGAGGTATGGGAAAGCACAGACTGCAAGGAGACCGGGCAGTCAGCTCCCGTCGGCTGCCTTGGGGCACATTCATCCTCACTTTTCCAGAAACTGTCATCTCTCCATCCCTCTGGCTGCTTCTCTTCTTCCTTCACAGGGCATGTCCCCCAATTCTAAGAGAGCCTGCACTCCTAAGACAGCTCCCCTTAGTTGCCAAGCTCCTGCTCTAAGTAGGTGTGCGCTGGCTCCATTTCTCCTCGCCATCTTTCCTACTGCAGTCCTGCAAGCTGATCTTCTGTGAGGCTCACTGCCCAGGTCCTGCGACACTTTCCCCCAGTTGTCCACACGACAGCATGACACACCCCCTCCTTTGGCACATGCCGTTCTGCCTGGAAACCCTGCCCTCTACTCATGCTTCATTCCCTGTTGCTTAGTTGCTCCTCCTGTCGTGTATGTTTGGGCAGGGGCTGCGTCTTATTCCTCACGGTCCCTCACAGTGTCCCTCGGGTTCAGTGCGTGTGTTGAGTTGTTTGTTAAAGGTCAGCCCCTCTTCTTGGAAGCATTTTTATGACACACTGACTTTCAGGCACGGCAACTCCCTGGCTGCCCTGTGATGCCACCTCTGCCTTTTTCACTGGCCACTTCTTTCTCTCTCTTCTTCCCACAGGCCCGTTCTCTCCCCTTGGTGAACTCATCCACTCTCTGGGCTTCACCCTGGTGACTACCACAGCCACCCCTCTAGCCTTGACCTCCAGCGTTGTGGCTCAGAACATGAATGCCATTTTCAATCCCTTCTCTCTTTTTTACCCTCCTATCTAATGTGCCATCAAAGCCAGACCAGTCCTCCCAATATCTGGACTGGTTCCTCTGCTCTCCTCTCAAAACTCTATAATGTTTACCTGTCAACAAACACTTTTACTTTGAGGAAAACAGTACTAACTGGAACATTCTTGGCTCTGAGCTGACTCTCACCAGGCAGATGCCAGCTGTGGATCTTGAACCACAGAAAGGAAACACCACCACCCATGACGCTTCCATGGCAAAGTACCTGAGTTTCTATGATTCTAGACTTTCAAGCTTCAAAATATGTAAGAATGGTGCTGAATGCCTTGTGCTTCTCCCCCAGCTCAGTCAGTGTTAAGGCTGGAGATCTTGCTCTCGAATTTTAGAAAAAGGAGAGTGAGGCCCAGAAATGAAAGGATCCTGAAACATACTGGTGTGCTGAGAACTGATATTTAATTGTTCTCAAATGTTCATGTGCTCAGAACTAGGAGGAACAATGGAAGACAACAGTTCCCAAAGGGGAACAAAATGAAAAACAATTAAAGAAGAAAAAGAACACGTTGAGCATTCATCATCCTCACATAATTTACAGCAATTTAGCAGCAAGCCAGCAAGTTTGCTTACACAGAACTGAACAGCTCAGATGTGCCTATGGAGGGGAAGAGCAGTGTGAGAAAGGTTATCTTACCAATCGCACAAGGAGCCTGGTTCCAACAGAACTGGAAGTCTGATGCAGAGGGTTGAACCAAAAAAGAGCCACCATTAAATGGGCAAACCTTTTTATAGATGCAACTGTCTGCAACGAAACAATAGCGACTCATTTTTGTTAGAGACGACACTCAGATAGCTGTTATCAGACAAAAGAAAAACAGACAACGAGAACAGCATCCTGTCTGCTCATTCTCTGTAAACAGCTGGATGCCAGATTCTCAGGGCCAGGAGGCAGTCGGAGCCAGAGTAATATTGACTATAAGTAATCACAGCTGCCATTCGTGGACAATTTACTATGTGCCAGACACCGAGCTTTAAAAACGCTATCCCATTTAATCTGTACAACCTTATGAAGTAGATGCTATTATTACGCTCATTTTACAGATGAGCAAATTGAGGCAAGGAGAGGGGAAGTAGCTTGTCCAAAGACTCGCAAGTACCACGTCAGGGAGAACACAGGTCTGCTTGACGGTGGAGAGGAAGGGACACCTGGTGGAGCCCTTGGATGGAGGAAGCCCTCCCGAAAGGCAGATCGCGCTCTGAGCCTCACTCGGCAGGACAAGTGCGGTGGGCGCTGTGGACTCCCCCTACGCCAACCGTTTATCAGGAAAACTTGAAGCCATACGCCTGTATCACCTTGTTGACCCTGAGCCAGCCTTAGAGTACGTGAGGCCTGGTTCATTCAGTTCCCCTGTTCCTGGCCGGCTCCGAGCTTTAAACACAAATCCAGGTGTTTCAGATCCTCTTGGAGAAAGTCCATGTAGGAACAAAGGTCCCTTTTATTCCAGAACCCCCATCATGTTTTAGCCGTACAATTTTATTTTTTAATTATTTTTTAAAACAGCTCTATTGAGATCTAATTTATATACTATAAAATCCATCCATTTTAAGTGTACAATTCAATGAATTTTAGTAGAGTCCTGAACTGCACAACAATGCTTCGGTCAACAATGGACCACAAATACGACGGTGGTCCTATAAGATCAGTACCACACAGCCTAGATGTGTAGTAGGCTGTACCACCTAGGTTTGTGTAAGTCACTCTATGATGTTTGCACAGTGACGAATTCACCTAACAATGCATTTCTCAGAATGCATCCCTGTTAAGTGACACGATTGTATATTTACAGAGTTGTACGACACAATCACAATCTAATTTTATAATATTTTCATCACCCGGCAATAAAACCTCATGCCCATCAAGTAGTCACTCCCCAACCCTAGTGTTAGAATTGAAAGCTGCGATGTGGGAAGAATGTCGGTAAGATGGCAGCAGGAGTCCAGCTCAGCAGCAGCCCACAGCCCATCTGAAGCTCCCACTCTGTCAAATCCTTTGGGAATGTCCTGCCCCATCGGGGCTTAGGGACTCCTTTGATGTGACCGCTGTGCCTTATAATGCCCTTATCTTATACTGTCTTGTAATTGTTTATTTAACAGAGTCAGTTACTAGGAGAGGAGAAACTAACCAGAGTCAGTATTGTTTTGTTTAGCTACAATGGATCCACTAGGGTCAGTATTGTTTTGTTTAGCTACAATGGATCCACTAGGGGAGAAAAGCATTCTGGCTCTCAGCTAAAGAACTTGCTCCTAAGAAAACCAACATCAGGAAGGACCCCGATTCCCCATGGCATGGCCCCTCACCTGCTGTGCCCTCTCTGCCCCCTGCCTGGGGCTCTGGACACTCTGCTGCGCCTAATCTTCCCCCCTCCAACTCCGGCCCCAGGGACTTCCTCTGGCAATGCTCCCATCTCTCCTGTGCCACCAGTTTCCCCTCTCCATTGGATCTTTCCCGACAGCCTTAAAACACACTGTTTATTCCAGCTTTTAGGAAACAAGATCCCTGACCTCTCTCCCTCCTCTCGCCCGTGTACTCTTCCTTTCTCTTTTTCCCTTAAAGCAAAATTCCCTGAAAGACTTGTCTGGATGCCGTGTCTCTATTTCCTCTTTCCCATTCTCTCCTGACCTAAGCAATCAGGCTTCTGCCCCAACTACTGCCCCAAAGACACGCTTTCTCATCAAGAATTTTCAACTCCCCCTCGTAAATCCACCAGCAGTTTTCAGACCCTGTCTCCCTTGGTGTCTGAGGCAATGACACAGTGAGTGGCTCCCTCCCTCCTTACATTGCCTTTCAGGACCCCACCCATTTTAGTCTGTCTTTCTAGCCACTCCTCAGTCTACTCTGTTAGTCTCTCCTCTCTCTCTCCCCACTTCCCCATGGGTAACCTTTAGTCTCATGACTCTCTTAATTCATGAGTCTCTCAAGTCTCAAGTCACTTATATGCTAATGACTCCCAAGTGAGTATCTCCAGCCAGCCCTCTCCCCTGAGCTCCCCACTTGCACATCCAGTGTCTCCTCTGGGATGTTTAGGAAGCACTGACATGTCCAAACTGAACTCTTCATCTTTCTCCCCAAACTTGCTCTTCTTAAAGGTTCCTTCATCTCAGTAAATAGAATTCTCCATTCTTCCAGTTGTTCATGCCCAAAACTGCAGAGTCTTCCTTTTCTCTTCCTCTCATATCCCACATTTGATTCGTCAGCAAATTATCTTAGTTCTCATATTTAAAACACATCTAGCATCTGACCACTTCTCAGCACCTCCACGACTGCTGTTCTGGTGCAGGCCACGGTCATCTTTCATCAGATGAGCGCAGTTGCCTCTTAACTGGCCCGGCCCTCACCCGCTTCAGTTAGTTCTCCACGCTGCACCCAGAGTCTTCCTTTTACGCCTAAGTCAGATCGTGTTGCCTCATGCTCAAAATCCTCCAGTCACTCACCAGAGTAAAATCCAAAGGCCTTTCATCTGCCCGCCCTGCCTGAATCGGGTCCTCTTTGCTGATGTCATTTTTAACCAGTCACACCCTCACTCACTCTGTTGTGGCCACAATGGTCATCCTGGGGTCACCTCGAACATACCAGAATGTTTCCTCCCCGAGGTCTTGACAACACTGGCCGTTGTCTCTGCCTGGACTCCTCACCCCTGGTTATCTTCACGTCCCGCTCCTTGACTCCCTTCAGGTCTTCTCTCCGCTCACCTTCCAGTGCCACCTTGCTTTTTCACCTTCTCTAAACAGAGACCTGCACTCCCCACACCTGCCAACCCCGGCCCCTCCCCTCTGCTTTATTTCCCCTTAGCACTTACCACCACTTAACATACTAGGTATTTTTCTTATTTATCTTGTTAATTGTCTACCTGCCCCCTTTGAAATGTACACTCCAGGAGGGCAGGGATTTGTGTGTATTTCATTCAGGCTGAAAGCTCCAGGCAAGTGGGTGCTCAGTAAGTACTTGCTGAATGAATGAACGACTCTTCTTTCCTCATCCCCACTCTGGAAGGACACAGCAGTGTTGTGTTTCTAAAGGTCCAGGTCCCTTACACATGACTCCTCTCCACTCCCCTGTCCCACCCCAATTCCCACCAGGGGAGAGCAAACTGCTGGTGGGTTTGAGGGGGTTTGGGCTGGGGGAGACCCCAGCTCCCTGAGCACAGAACATCCTGGCCAGGTAGGGGATGGCTGTGTGTGTGCCTAGGGAGGCCAGCCCCAGCCTCAGCCTGTCTCAGAGGGGAGCTGCCTGCCTGAGAAATGGGTCACACAGGTGTGGATGAGGTGACCCAGACTGCCGTTCAGAGGCCCCTCCCCTCCCCTTTCCACGTGAATAAGCCCCAGGGATTCTAATTCAACTCCAGAGAAGCAGAGGGCCCTCCCTCCCAGCAACTCATATTGGTGGTCTCTGCACCTGAGGAGAGGGGCCTCCAAATCCGACTTAACTGATTGAGGAGAGTAAGCAAAGCGGATTTCTTGAACCCCAGAGCTGGGAAGCATGTCCACAGTCAACGTGCTGGCATCCGTGCCCGGCTCCCCCACACTGTGAGCTCACTGCCGTCCCTGGCAGGGCCTGTCACTGTTGTGTCTCTAGAGCCTAACACGTGCCTGGCACAGAGAAAGTCGTCCGTTGCGGTTAAAAAGGGCAGCCCGAATGGAGGGCCCCAGAGGCGCCAGAACGTTACTGCACAGGAAGGAGCTCAGTCTACGACCTCCACGCCTTTGACCTTCCCCATCCAGCTGGTAGAGAACAGGGTGACAGATACTATTTCTAACTTTAAATCAAATTTCTCTCAAGAAAAGTCCCTTTTGCATGTAGAAAAGTCTATGGAGGTTAAAAACTGGATTCTGAATTAATATACTGAGGAACTGGAATAAAAGGAGGAAAATAAAATCTTGCCGTGCCTGGCAATGTGTGATGGGCTTTACGTGTGGAATCCTGTTTAATCCTCACGACAGTCGTGAGCAGCAGGTTTTGCATTCTTCTGGAACGTAAGACTTAGTGAGGTTAAATATGGTCACGTCGAAAATCTAGTTTTCCTGTGTTAAAGTTATCTTTAAAACATCATCAGGCACCACAGAGTTCACCCTTAGTACTGAAATTTATTATATGCATTAAAGGTGAATCATCACTGTGTGGTAAGGTCACAGGCAAATTTTCTTTTCTTTCTTTTTTAAGCAAAGACCGACCCTGGTATTCAACATAGAGATTAATTACAAGAAAATGAGAACATCATCAACACGCTAGACTATTTATACTTTTTTCCCCTAAAGTTTATCTTGTGAATACATTTTTCTCAAATAACATGTAATGCGAAGTTATAATCTCTATTATAAAATATTTTCATCTTTAACATATCTGAGATAAAAACTTCTCTATACAAAACTCTGAGTTTATAAAATTTATTTTTTACTTTGTTTTGCTTTTTAATCGAAAGGAACTGACTTGAATGATAAAAATCAGCTTCAAATTTGGGGGAAACAATTTTGGAAATGAAAATTATTTCATAGCAGCTTGTTAGAAAGGGCCTTTGCTGTGCAGGTGTCTGTGACCAAGACAAGAACATGGAAGAAAACAAGCCAATGACTGTGCACTGGGTGAGTGGGAGAGCATTAGAGAAGTGACCTGGGTGACTGGGGAAAACCAGCTGGTTCTCCTGGGGTTGTTCACCAGGTACCTGCCAACCTGCTGGGAGAAAGAGGAGGTGAAAAGGATTGCCAGATTTCTGACCCCAAAAAACTGGAGGAAGTGGCATGGTTTGGGAAGACCGAGGTGGGTCTGAGAGCCTCCTGGATTGCCAAGGCCTTGACCCATGTGGGATCTAAAGACTCAAAGATTACCTTCTGATGGCCTGGTGGATCTGTGAAAACAGACATACACTGATCCCATCTGGAGATGAAACCAGAGCCTGAAGTCAAGAGATGGTCAAAGCCAGGAGAAACGGAACTCCCAAGGGGCTCCATGAGACAAAGGGACCACTGGGACCACATCTGCCTAGTGCTGGACCACTCCCGCCCCCAGGAACACTGACTGCTCGAGTCAATAAGCTTCCAATTTGGTAGAGAGAGGATGTCATTCACCTTTGTTTCCATGCCCCTTTTTCATTTTGGGATTCATTCTTACTCTAAAAATCTGCTCTATCTTTCTGTTCTTAACTTCTCTCCCACCTAAAATCTCCCCCATCCTTTCAAGCAGTTAAAAGAAAAAAAACCTTCTGCATCAGTTTTTTTTTTTCCTCCTTCTTCTTTCTTCTTCTCCCCAAAGCCCCCCAGTACATAGTTGTACATTTTAGTTGTAGGCCCTTCTGGCTTTGCTATGTGGGACGCCGCCTCAGCGTGGCCTGATGAGTGGTGCCATGTCTGCGCCCAGGATTTGAACCGGTGAAACCCTGAGCCGCCGAAGCAGAGTGCGTGAACTTAATCACTCGGCCGCGGGGCAAGCCCCCAAGAGTCCCCATCACAGACCCCCATCAGTTTTTAAAGCATTCTGCCACAAGTTTTTCTCACAGATTTTCCAATAAGGTAAAAAGGCCACACTTTAAAGGGATAAACCTCTTACAGAAATGACTTCAAACATGTGGCCCCTACTCCTCTTGTCCTGTAAACCTGGGACAGAGGGCGGCAGCAGCAGCGGCCTGGCCACCTGAGCACTGGCATCTGGACCCATGCTGGAGCTTGGGCAGCTCGGCCCTTCTCGTCAGACAGACTATTAAAGACCTGTTGTTTTGAGGAGGGTTTGTACAGGTCTGGGGATAAAATATTCTAAAAGAGCAATTTATTGTTGAAGAGGTTTTCCTTCTTGTGACTACCTTCTCCTAACTTCTTCCTCATAAATCTTGCACACTTTGAAAAACGATGTTTACAAAACAAATTTCTCTACTGATAATTAGCTTTCTCATGTTATTAATCAAAGATTAGTCAAAATATCTGACCCATGTGATACGACCAGCATCACCACTCTAAAGACAGAATTCTGGGGCCGGCCCGGTGGCTCAGTGGTTAAGTTTGCACGTTCTGCTTCAGTGGACCAGGGTTCACCGCTTTGGATCCCAGGTGCGGACCTACATACCGCTTGTCTAGCCATGCTGTGGCAGGCATCCCACATATAGAGGAAGATGGGCACGGATGTTAGCTCAGGGCCAGTCTTCCTCAGCAAAAAGAGGAGGATTGGCAGCAGATGTTACCTCAGGGCTAATCTTCCACAAGAAAAAAAAAAAAGAAAAATAGAATTCTAAGCTGAAAAATATGTGTTATTGTTTTAGTTAGACTAGGCAGCCAGGAAAATATCTTACTACTTTTAGCCTTAAAAAGATCCTTTTTATTGAAGTATAATACTAGCCTTTAAAATGCCGACAGTCCTTAAAGACCCTATTTGGTACCTTTGGTCTGCCTGAAACCCTGCCTTCCACCTACCCCAAACTAACCCTGCTGGGGCCAGGTATGCCAGGTTAGGCTGATTTCATTTACACCTGAGCAACTGCAAAAAGTAGAATAGTAACCGTGGTAAAAACTTGGGGTGCTGGACCCAAGAAGGCTCCCCATGTGAACCCTGGCTCTGTCACTTTGTAGCTGTGTGATCTTGAGAAAGGCAGTTCCCCTCTCCAGGCCTCGGCTGCCTTATCTCTAAACTAGAGACAATCACAGGACCTGAGAATTAAAGAGACGATGACTCGAGCAGACTGAGCACAGCAGATGGCGCGCTAAGGGCTCCCTACATGGAAGCCACTGTCGTCACCACCTCATCCGGGAGAAGGCACCACAGGCAGCGCCTGCAGCACTGTCTCACCAGCAGGTCTGGGGAGTATGGGTAGATGCAGGTAGGAATGCAATTTTTAGATGCTTCATGGATGCAATCAGGACACAGGAACGATACATCAGGTCAATCTAAGGTTAAGTCCCTTTAAAGTGACCAGAAAAAAGAACAGTCGATTTAGGAAATAAAGATAAAAACACAGTCGTCACTTACAGTTGTAACACAAGAGCAGACCGGCTTCTCCATCTTCGTACACATCAATAGCTGCAACAAAATTAACCTGCAATGAGAACGGGCAATGGTCGTGGGCCGGCTGGACACTGACGCTATTCAAAGACTTTCTCAAGTTATGAGTGTTTGGCGCGGCCCTTGGCTCTCAGGGGCTGGGGGCTCATTGCCACCTCACCAGCACCCAGAATGCCACACGGGCGGCCGTGGGTACAATACACGGTAGGCGTGAAAGAGAGAAACGTCTCTTCCTTCTGCAATGGGATTTTCCCACGGACCTTCCACACCCTTTGAGAAGTTCTGGCGGGCCTCTCTACTCTATTACGACCCACAGGGTGAGCTTCGGTTCACAAAGCTTTTTCATGTGAGTTATTCATTTCCTTCTCACATCAACCCTGGAAAGTAGAGGGATTTATTCCTGTTTTACAGATGAGGAAAGTGAGGCTCAGAGAGGTGAAGTCACTCGAGGCCCTCAGCTAGGAGGTGCCACAGGCAAGCTGTGAACTGGCTCTCTGGTTCTTTTCCTACCTTACCCCTCTCGCCCTTCAGCCAGGCTTCCTCCTGCCTCAAACACGGAGGGTCTTTGACCCTTTGACTCGTAAAAGCATCATGTTTACACTTCTATTCCCTCTCTCTCCTTCACTTCAAGGGAGGAAGCATGGTGCAGTGAAAAGGGCGTCAGAGGACCCAGTTCTTGGACCTGGGCAAACTCACCTTTGAGTTTGGGCCTCAGTTTCTGCATCTGAGAATAGGGTGCGCAACCTGATGATGTCCTTGGTTCCTCTTGAGTTTCCAAGCTCTGAGCCTCCAAAACTCTCCTGCTGCTTCCGCACTTGTGTTCTCAATCCTTACAGTGCCGCCTCCCACACCATCAGGGAAAATGCCCTCTTTGAGCTCAACAAAGATTTCCTTCTCCCCAACCTGAGGGCCTTTGGCCAATGCTCATCTCTCTACCCAATTCTCTGCAGCCTGTGACATGTGACATCTCCTCCCTCCCGTCCTCTCTCCCACTTCAGATTATTCTTCCGCTTTTGGGCTCTTCTCTCATTTAGAAAAATGCCCACCTTCTAGCTTCAAATTTTACTATGTGCTCAAAATCTCTAAAGCTACCACCTCAGGCACACATTCTCCTCAGCGCTCCAGTCCACATCTCTGTCTTCTGTTCCATCATACGCAATAGGTTCCATATGTAAGAAACGCAGGAGGCAGTGTGCAGGAGTGGGCAGGAGCTCGGACCCTGGTCAGACAGACCCGAGTTAAAATCCAGCCTGTACCACTTACTGCCCCTGTGGTTTGTGGCAAATGGCTTAACCTCTGGCCTCAGGTCTTCACCCCTGAGCTGGTATAATGATAATGCTGACTCTGCTGGATTGTAATGAGAATTCCAGGAGACAAGGCAAAGGTTTTCACCTAGGGCCTGACACATAATCAGCCCTCAAGGAAGGCTGTTATCTTTCCCTCACGCATGACTAGTTTCCTCCTAAATCTGCTCCTTTTTGTTAGCAGAACTATCCCCAAAGTCTCACCCTAGTGCAGCAGCAGCAGCCTTTTCCGTGTCTCTCAGATGTCTATGTGTGTCACTGCTGCCGCCCAGGCGAGGCCCGACCTCCCCAGGCTGGAGCGCGTGCTCTCTCCCGCCCCTGCCAGTCTCTGCACTGCCCGGGAGCATGGGCACCTCCCCCGGGCCCTCTGCCCACCCAGCCCTCCTGCTCACTGGTGTCACCAAAACGCAGCCTTCTCCTCCAGTCTCACCACGGTGCTGAAGCCCTCAGTGGCCGCCCTCAGCCAAGGCCTCCGCCTTGGCTCTGGCAGTCCCTCGGATGGAACCTCTGTCCCACCCTGATCCACCCTTTCCCACCGTCACTGTCCTAGGTGCCATTATGCATGCAGAAATGAACGTGGCAGGCTCTCACGCCTCAAGAAAAACAATCAGAAAGATGGTACATAGCGCAAGGTATAATGGGACAAATGCCATAATCAAGAGTTGTGGGAGCTTTGCAGGGGGTGGGGGACAGTGAGGCCCAGAGGTCAAGAGCGCCGACTCTGGGATCAGAAGGACTTGGGGGTCAAACCCCAAAAAACTCCTCCACTGCCATATATGATACCTGTCTATTTTAAAGCTCTGCATGGCACGCACCACTGTCTGGGGTTCCCTTCTTTGTTTGTTTACCGGACCCCTCCTCCCCACTAGAATGTAAGCTTCACGAAGCAGAGGCCGTGCTGTGCTGTTCATCGTTACATTCTCAGCGCCTAGATCAGGGCTGGGCAGTAGCAGGAGCAGAAGAAACACTTAGTGAGTGTACAAGTGAATAAAAGAAATCCTACCTCTGTCACTTTAGAGGTATAGACACTCAGGCCAATTGTTTAACCCCTCAGAACCTCGGTTTCTTCATTTGTGAATGGAGATGATAAGAGCTGGAGTCCTACAGGGGCTGAGGATGCTCACCTCATAATAAGTGAGGTCACTTATGTGAGCACCTAGCACAGGGCCAGCAACTCGGTAAATGCCCACTAAATGTCAGCTGGCGGCACTGTTTACCTGTGGAACCGGCACCAGTGGATCCATTACAGGAAGGAACAGCCCTTGAGCCCCCTCAGCCCCCTGAAGGGAACCTTCCTGAGCCCACCACTCTGACTTAGAATCACTTCCTCCTCAGGTGTTCCCATACTTGCCGGTTTGGCGACACTTATCTCAGCCAGAGGCTTTGAGCCATCGCGGGCATGGACAGTGTCTGCTCTGCCAGACTCTCCCCACCAGGCTTTGTGACGTGGCTGCCACGGCACGCCAGGTTGAAGGGCACAGCCCTCAGAGGCAGCCTGGATTCTTGCCTGCCTCTGCTACTTACTAGCTGTGTGGTTTTGGGTAAATCAGCGATTTCTCCTTTCTGAGCTTCAGTTTCCTTTTTGGCAAAAATGGGGAAGTGAATAGTACTTTCCCCACAGATTGTTGGGAAAATTTTGTGAGATGATGCTTACAAAGTGCTCTAGCGCCAGGGCCTGGTACCTAGAAGTGGCCATTCAGCGGTGGCCGTGTTTATTCTAACTGCAGGAGGGCTAACGGCAGTGGGAAAGGCGGAACTGGACGGCTTTGAGTTTAGAGGTAAGGCCTGTGTGTGTGTTTGGGGCGGGAGAGGCAGGCAGCAGGCACGGGAGGAGAGGAAGTGCAGGCAGCCTTTCAGACGTCGGTCTGTGCACGGAATCTGAATCCATGCACGAGACTCAGGGTGCGGGGCAGGCCATGGTGGAGCTCCAGCCAGGGGGCTGGATTCAGGGACAGAGACCACGGCTGGGAATTGATCACTTCCTCCTCGTGTACTACATAGAGTTTTGTTCAGACCTTTATTAACACTTAGCACAGCGAGACCCATTTCAGGCTGTGATGCATACGTCGGGCCCTTTCCCGGGTGAGGGGCCTGGCAGGAGTCAGTCTCTGCAGCACTGTTTCTTGCCCGGGTGAGGACATGAGAATCAACCAGAGAGTTTTAAAAAAATGCATATTCTGGGTTCTCACTCCTAGAGCTGCTGAGACGGCAGGTCTAGGGTAGGACAGAGGCATTGGCTTTTTAATTTTTATTTTATTAAAAGTAAGTAGTTCATTTTATTGGCATTTTAAAATGCTAAAAGTAACATATGGTGGTTGTGAGAATTCAAAACACAGACTTGTAACAAGTGAAGTCTGCATCCCGACTTCCACAGCCCCAGCTAAAAGTTCAAGGCAGCCACTGTTCGGTCAGTGTCTGGCCTTCCCATGTGGATCCGAGGTGAGCTCTAAACTGAGACCCACTGGGTTCTGGGCAGATGGTCAAAGTGGGGACTTGGGCCCAGCGAATAAGCCAGAGACCCAGACCAGCCCCCCCAACCCGAGATCCCTGAAGGGAACCTTCCTGGCCCACCACTTTGACTTAGAACCACTTCCTCGTCAGGTGTCCTAGTTTCAGGTCTGCAGCTCCTTCCAGAGGAGACCTTTGCTTTGGGAATGAGGCCACTGCCGGCCGCTGGAGCTGGGGCAGGAGGTCACAGTAGGCCTGTCGGTGACACGAGCTTGATGTTGACCTTTGGAATGCTGCTTGGTGCTTCTTAAACATTTCCTCTCTTGAATTAGGATCGTCCTAGACCTTGAATTGAGGCTGAAGACTGAATTGGGCATTGAGTGGCCTTGGCTGGGAAGAGAGGAGGAATGGGGGCAGGCAAGCAGGCCAGCCCAATCACACTGGTGCGGGCACAGAGCAGGCAGGCAGTGAGTGTGACCTGAATGACACGGAAATCCCCGACCACCTGAGGTCTCTCTCCTGCCTCCACTGCACTCGGGGCCTGTGGTGCAGCCACATCTTGGTAAAAAGTTGTGCCATTCCCGCAGGGCCTGTTTCTGACTGGCTATTAGGAAACACATTGTTCATTACCTTTTTCATTTCTCTGGGGCTTATCTTCCCAATTAGACAGTAAATTCCTTGCAAAGACGAGTCACTGTATCTAAGGGTCTCTGTCTGCTCAGCAAATACTCAGCAGCTGCTAACTTACCAGCAGAGGAAATACGTACACTGACCCACTCACATCCACAGAAAGGCTTAAAAACATTAAAACAAATTTTCTCTTAGGGAAAAGCTTTGTATCTTCATTTTAAAAAGCATATTGAAGAAAAGGCAGACCATTTTAGAATTGTTCCTTATAGCTTTTAGAAAAACAAAACAAAGAAGTCATCACAGAAAACTGTTTTTGACTCAATTTTTCCCAGGCCTTCACGAATCAAGAGAAAAAAAGTCCACAAACACTCTAATGAATTATCAGGGTATTAAATATAAGTGAATAATAATAATCACCAGAAAAAGCAGGTTAAGTCTTAGGAAACCAGCTGCCAAGGAAAGGACTGATGGCACGGACTGAGTAGGCCATGACTTTTCTGCCTCTTTTGGTTGGTCGCACAGAGGGTTTTGAAGAGCAAGAAGGGGCAAGAACTTTTAAGGACCAAAATGGGCCCTTTCTCCCCAGAAGTCAGCAGGCTGGAAGAGGTTTTAGGTTTCCAGCAACTAGGATGCAGGTGCTGTCCTCCTGGCTTTAAATTAGGAAGTTTCAGGATAGATTCATTCTCCTAGGTCCATATTGGCATCACCTGAGAGAGATTTAAAACATACTGATTCCCAAGTACCACATGCCCAGAAATTCTGATTTAACTGATTTGGAGTGAGGTCAGAGCACTGATCTTTCTAAAGCTTTCCGGACAATTTCAGTCAGGGTGAGAAGCAGTCTATACCAGTGGTGCCCAAACTTGTCTGAGCATCAGAATCACCTGGGGATAGTTTAAAATTTCCGAAGCCCAGGCCACACCTGAGACCAGTGACGTCTCTGCAGGTGGGACACGGGCATCAGGGGTTATGAAGATCCTCAGATGACTCCAATTGCAGACAAGTTTTGGCACCAGCAGTATATACATTAGAGAAATGACAGGCTGATCTGTGATTGATAACAGCTGAAAACAAGAAGCCCTCCTAATCTAGACTTTTCGATTAAAATCTTGCTCTCTTTGGGTGTTAGGTCTTCTTAATACAGTAATTAGCAATTTTAATGAATATTTATGTAGGGCATGTCCTAACACAAGTTGTATTTTTTATTTCTTATAAGGCATAACCAGAAAGAATTCCACAGTCTCTTCGACCTAGCTGAACAGGACTGGGGAAACCTGCGGGTTTGGGAGCTCTCTTGCAAACTTCAGGTGGCTCAAGTGTCATCAGGCTTTGCCCTGCTTCACAGCAATAAACAGGCTGAAGAGTTCTGTAGTCTTCGGAGCAGTTCCAGTGACAGACAAGCCACGAGGTCTCAGGGTGGAGAGTGCTCACCGCCCTCCAGGGGCGATAATGATCAGACCCCACACAGTCATCTTTAGAGCTTTGGTGCGGTTTCGAGTGGGCCCTAGATTTTGTCCAAAGCCAGAACATCATTGCTCTCTGTGCAGTTCAGGCCAGGGGGTGTAGACCCCCAGTGCTGATTCCTCTTTCTCTCTCCTAATGGTGCTCCGTCCCTTCTTCCTTTCCTAACGGGCCTCTAAGGGGATGGAGACAGGGCCACACCCTCCCCAGCCAGCCAGGCCCCAAGCTTTGAGTCTGCAGGGCCACTGAGGGCAACCTTATTCTCCAAAGGTCTTTCCAGCATGAATTACCAAACCAATGTTGTCATTTATTTCGTTATTTGTATTTAGCTTTTTGACTCTTCATTCCTTTTTTAAAATTGGAAAGGATGGAATGGCAGGGGGAGATCTGGAAAAACTGAACAGGGCAATGAGGCCATTATATTAGACTGAGCCACTGTGACCGACAAAAACAGAAACTTCATGTGGTGCAGCCTAAACAGTATATCACATAATACTGCTATGACAAATAGTAACATCATTTTAAAGAAATCCTAATCATGGCATCGCAAAGTTAGAAGACACAACTCCTAGTCTTCTTTGCTTCCCACTTGCCCCTTATCTGTCAGCTCACCCTGTTGGCCTCCACGTGGTGCAGCCTGAAGGCCTCCCCCGTGCTCTCGTTCACCACATCAAACTGGTGTCGATAAGCCACACAGATGAGATTGTCACTCTCTTCCGTTGGCCCATCTACTAAGGTCATCACTGCAGGAGAGTCGGACAGACAGATCTCCTGTGTGGTTGATGAGGACACAGGAGAAAGGGGTTAGGACACAGAGCAGCCGTCTTCATATCAAGCCCCCACTGCCCCCGGCTGCCCCCCAGGAGGACCCTCCCCAGGCTCCCACGGAGCCCTGTGCCTGCGGGGAACGCAGCGACGGGGGGGGGGGGGGGGGGGGAAATCGCATCAGACTTCTCCCTCCCCCAACCGTCCTCAAGACTCACACCTCCGCCCACTGCAAAGGGGAGAGGCCAGAAACAGCTCTACAAAACTGAGTCAACAGGGTGGCCTGCATTAGCCCCCAGATAGTCCGGTCCTGTCCTGTGATTTAATAATAATGACAATAACAATAATAATAAATAATAATAATCGCTAACCTTGTTGAGCATTTAATGCAGTGCCAGGCACTGTTCTCACTGAATCCTCGTAACAAGCTTATGAAGTAGGTAATGCTATTATTCTGTTTTACAGATGAGGAAACTGAGGCTCAACGGTCACGTGAGTTGCCTACAGTCACATAGTTTTTATACATGGTAGAGCCAAGATTTGAACTCAGGAAATCTGATTTCAGAGCTCATACTCCACATAAATATACATGCTCTATATAAACATTCATTAAAATTGCTAATTACTGTATTAAGATGACTAATACCCAATTAGAGCAGATTTTAACTTAGCTGTTATGCTGTTCAGTCCCCTGGAATTGAATATTAGCAGAAACTGATATGCATAATTCAGGAGGCTTTAACTCTAGGCAAGAATAATTTCTCAGCCTCCCAAAGGCATACTCTGCCTTAGTAGCCAATGTTTGACACATTTCACACCTTAACGTCCCACAGTTTTTAAAAAGATGGAAATGGTAAGATCAAGGAAGGAGCTTGACCCTGGAGGAGGCTTCTCTCCAAGGTTCTACCCTCAATGGATTGGCAAATCCTACCGACTGAGGCAAGCACAGCAGCTCTGCCCACCGCTTCGTGCCACCTCTCCAGCCACCAAAGCCACCACCATCTCTTGCTAGGATCCTGCGGTAGCCTCTTAGCAGGACTCTTCATTTCCACTCTTGGTCCCTATGCTCTCCTTTGTCCAGGAGCCAGAACAGTCTTTTTAAAACATGCCACTTGTCTGCTTCAAACCTTCCAATGGCTTCCCCTCTCACTCAGAGTCAAAGCCAAAGTCCTTGCAGTGGCCTCCAGGGCTTGAGAGAATCTGGTCCCTGTCCTCTCTGACAGCTTCTTGACTGTGCCTTGAACGGGGCCTTGACTGGCTGCTCCTTCTGCCCGAACACCCTCTCCCCAGATTCCTCATCACTCACTCCCATATCTCCTCTGGATCTCTGCTCAAAGGCAACCTCTTCAGAGGGGGCTTCCTGGACATCCTTCCTAAAATGGACCCCACCTCCCTGCTCCACTGTCCTCTGTCCCCTTACCCTGCTTTACTGTTGTCCTCAGGCTTCATAGATTCACTTATTTCTGTGATCCTGAAACTAGAAGGTCCTGTCCAGGAGCAGAGAGACTTTGTTTTGTCCCCTGCTGCATCCCCAGTACCTGGAGCAGCAGCACCTACAGGTGTGCATGGCATGGATGAGCTGGACGGAGGAGGGAAAGCCCCATTTGCCTTAGTCCCCTGGGAGACACTAGGCATCAGGCAAGGGCTTCCCTAGTTGGTTACCAAGCTGTGGGACAACCCCAGTGGGTGACAGACTCTGGGTGGAAGGAGAGAGTCTGCCACGTGACACCCTGGCCAGGAGCGAAGGGACTTGAAGAGAAAACCCACCCTGATGTACTGGAATTCCTCCACAGGTGACTCCGACAGGGGAGACAGAAGTGGGACGCTCGTGACCCCGCTCGGCTTGTTGTGTTTCCTCGTGATTAGAAGCAGTTTATTCCGAATTGCAACTACGATCCTCAGCTCTCTGCTATGGTGAGTGTTAATGGCATACAAGTGGCAGCCTGGAAGAGAAGTAAGTGATGCTGAACACGTGACAAGAGGTTGGAAGTCCCCGGGCCTTGACAGCTCAGCAATATCTAAGAACTCTGGAGATTAAGTATAACCCAGTGAAATGACTAAGAATGTTCCTGCCACCAGGCAAAATGGAACTTGAAATACAAACTGGGTCAAGTTACAGGAAAATTAAGCAAGTCATATACCCTCTTTTTTAGAGTTTGTGGGCTTAGCTCCATACTCATTCCATGATATGAATTAAAGTGAGGGCTGATCAAAGCTGCAGAAAGCAAAGGCTAAAATTCTCTTTTCATGCATTTGCTAACAGAGCTTAACTCACCTCCAGAACTTGTTACATAGGCCTAGGGTTTCCTCTAGTCCTCAACACATTTTTCTATCGCTCAGGTTCCCTTAGGGAACCAGTGATGCTATCTTTGTGATGTTTCTCAGTAAAAACCAAACCAACGAAATCCAATTCCTACTCCTTTTTATTTTCAGTAAAATCTGGGCAGTCTGAGAAAAAGATTAATTGAACAGAAACCACCAAAATACGAAGAATCGAGCCACCTTTTGTCTTCTCGAGCTTGTTCTCTCTGCACTCACACTTGCTCTTCACAGCCTGTTTGCCCTCGATGCCCTTCTGCACAGCGCTCAGCCTGAAGACAAAGAGGCGGGCGTCTTTTCCTGGTGAAGACAAAGCAGATGGAGGAGGAGATGAAGGGAAAAGTAAAATGACCTGGAAGAGCTGAAAGAGCAGACTGTGTGGGAAAACTGCTGCTAGGGGAATTAGGATTTGGAATGTTCTAGAATTCAAGAGAAACTCCACACTGCCTTGACCTAACAGTGCATTTAAGGATGCCCCCACTTCTCTCCCTCATCGTCCCCTCCTCAGAGAACAAATAGGCCACCCAGGAACCCTGAGCACTGGGCACCAGGAGAAGAAACAGCTGGCACAACCCATGGAATCAGACCCCCACGACCCTCAGTGTCGGCCGCAGAAGGCTGCATGCTTTCCTCCCTCCAAGAGATCACCGCCGGAGGGGGATGCCACCTTTGTCTGCTCTGAGAATCAGAAGGTCCAGCGTCTCGAGCACATGCATCTGCTTCACTGGCAGAGTTTTGTCAAACACTGGCACTGACGGAAGGTCACCTGGAAAAGGAAACCTGGTTATACAATGCTGCAACCCAGCCCACACTTTCTAGAACCTACAGAATGTGCCTGTGGGTAGTTTTGGACCCCAGTTCTCGAGGCAAGGAAGGAGGTCAGCTTCTAAAGCTTTCATAAGGGCTCTATAATAAGTTTAAGCACTGTTCTCCTCTTAGCTCAGGGAGAAAGATGCTATTCCTTCCCAAAGGCATTTGGGACTCTCTGAGGAGCACAGTGGCAGGGCACGCAACTTATATTCTTCTCCTCAAGGTTTATCCAAGAAAAAACAGCATCTCTCAATGCTAGTGTTCACTGGGGTGGCACCAAAGGACTGAACACACGTTAAAAAAAAAAATTTAAATGCTCAGCCATTTCTCTTAAGTATTTTCTGATTTTTGTGATGTTTGAAACTGTATCATCTCTTAGGTTATTTTGTATATTTCTCAGAAAAGCAAATTAATATTTCCTTTTGTATTTAAAATAAATACAAACACACCCTATTCCAACATGCCCTATGTCTGTATCAATAGTGGTTTACCTATAATTTTTCAGTATTTCTCCATTTGGGAATATGAAATCTCCTTTTTAGATAAATGTAAAATAAGAGAGAAATATCACTTAAATTGCCCAAACAGGAAAAAAACTAATTTTAGTGGCAACGTTCAGGAAGATGTCAGGTAAATGGATGACTAAAGACGTTGCAATTACACGTAGGATGTGTTTTTAAGCTTACTTACTGGGATCTTACATTGCGAGCAATTGCTTTGCTCCTGGGAATCTCTAGGAAAAAGAGGGCTAAAAGAATTATCAAGGCTGTTCCACAAGCAAAAGATTCATTTTGAGCTTGATGTAAATCCAAGGCAAGGTGGAGATGTCCAGGGACGGTGGCAGAAGTGGCTGGCTTATTCTTCATCCGCTCCTCGTGTGACACTTAGGTCTTCAAGCGCTCTGCTCTGGGTTTGAGTGTTTAACTATAATTTAGGTGCAAGGGGCCCTGAGGATCTTGCCTCTTCCAGAAATCTGAGGTTGACAGTCCGTCCATCCCTGGATGGTGCCCAGGAGGGAGCAGAGCTTTCGTCATCAGCATTAGTAACGGCCTCACAGGGGCGGGGGCTCCCGTCCTGCAGGTCCGGGAGGGCTCTGGATGCATCAGAACACAGAGCCTGCTAAGCTTTTATCAGAGAGAGGGTTTGTCTCTAGTTCCCTTAATGATGGGGGCAAATGGAAATTCTATGGTAGCCCATCAAGCTTTCCTCCCTCCTGTACCCCAGGCCTTCCCAAAAGGGACTGCTTCTCAGGCTCTCCGCGCTTCTGCTGGAGGCAGACTTGATTTTTCAAAACAGGGGATGATCACTCCAGTAACCATCATGGTATATGATTAAATAACTACGATTATTTCATTTTGTGAATGGCAGCCAACATGCACGGAGGGCTTCCTATATACCAGGCCCTAATGCTAAGTGTTCCACATGTCATTTAACTGAAATGTCCCAGCGACCCTATTAGGTAGGAACTTTTAATACTCCTATTTAACAGATGAGGAACCTAAGGCTCAGAGGAGCTAATAACTTGGCCAAGGTCACATCTTGAGCAGAACCCAAGTCTGTGCAAGGACAAAGCTGTGCTCTTAGCCCGTGTTGTAGCCTCAAATCAGCACCATATCCCCATGGATGGATGGTGTGACCATGGAAGCGACACTTCCGTAAAGAATTAATAAGTGACAGAAGCACTTCGTTTTACAGTTAAAATGGAGGGATACGGTATAGCTGCCCAACTATGTAGAGAGAAAATTAGCAGTTATTCTCCATCAAATCTTTCTCAGATGGCTGAACAGGTTTATACGTAGCACAAGAAGGAAGAGGAGGCAAGGATATGAGAAAGTGACATGGGCTTAATGATTGTTTCATAACAATGTTTTCCTTTTTGTAATCTCTTTAGGAAGAAACAATCTTTCAGAGCCAGCTTTTCTATTAGTGCAAAACCAAAACAAACGGTGATAGCATATTTAATCAGGATCGTTTCCCTTCAAAGTAGGTTTCGCTACACTTAGAGTACAAAGGATCTCAATTTTTGATAATGCCCTTGAAAGAAGTAGACTCTCAAGGGGGGAAGTCTAATGAAATTAAGCAGAGGCTAATGGAACAGAGTGGAACTCAGCATGAAACGAAATGGAGAGCTTCCTCACGGAAACAGTCGTAACATGATTAAGCGCAGACAAGAGAAAGGTAAACAAAGAAATAATAGGAGAATTATGGTTTAAAAGCACAACAAGGAATACAAAGAAAGCCTTAAGGCTATTCTCCTTTTTAGCAAAAACAAACAAGGAAGCTCACTGTATAAACAGGACAGGATAATAACCATCTGAGTAATACATCCAGGGTGGTGGGTGTGTACGGCTACCACCTGTGTAAGATGATTTCCCTCAAAGGTGGAAGGAAAGAATTTCCTGGCAAATCCCAAGAAACCTTCCACCTGACGCCTCCATTGAATTTTGGATCCATAAAGATGAAAATTTCAGAAAAGGACTTGGAAATCTTGGTTTGGATTTTACATTTGAAAAAATAGAAGCAGCCCGAACAGAACCTCTTTCTGTTTATAGGCAAGTCTTAAAAATAGTCACTATAAAGCATACTGTCTTTATTCCAAAAAGGCAAACAGGTAGAATTGAACACTCTTTTAATCACAATTGTTTATCATAATTATTTGCCGAGGACTGTATTTTTGGAAATCTGTGTTACAGTAAAGACAAACAGCATTGGTCGAGTTTAATTTAACAAACTGTAGTTGGTTTAGTGGAAAGAGTTCTGGACTAGGAATCGCCTCTGGGTTCTAGTTCCAGAGGTGCCACTCACCAGCTGTGTGATTGTGGGCTAGTCACATTGTTTCTTCAGGCCTCAGTTTCTTCATCTATAAAACTAAGAGTCTAGACTAAACCTCTAAGGTCTGTTTTGTTTTGTTTTTAAACAAATTCTTTTATTTGGTTGCACCTTTGGGAAAATCTAAGGATTTTGTTACCTTGTAGCAAGTTCATAGGGATACAGTAAAGATAACAGCTGCCACTTAATAAGTTACTACTGTGCACTTAACACAGGTAACTATTTAATCGCCACAACCCCCACTTGTAGTTATGACCATCATTCCCACTTTGTTTATTTCATCAGTTTCCCTTATTATAACTACTTTTCAGCCACTTAAAAAATTACCCTCACTTAGAACAACCCAAAGATCAGTCAGGTTAAGTTTTCTTCAAGATTACAAAGATTTTATAATTGTTTTATAGTTTCTGAAATTAAATATTCAAATTATGAATTTCAAATTATGTGGCTTTTATTAAATTACTTATATATATATATATAGTTATGCATGCAGTTAAAACATATATCAAAAATAACAGATAAGGTCATAAATAAATCCATTGGAAAGGCTGGTCCACGTCTTTGTCTTCCTACAGAAGGCACCCAGCACAGGGTGCGGCACATCGCAGGTCCTTAGTAAACATGCTAAGTCAGGAGCCAAGGAGGGAGTAAAGGTCATGGCCAAGGGTGGGAAGAAGCTGCAGCTTTAGGACATTACGTCACTCTCACGGTGGTGTGGTTTTCAGGATTCTCATAAAACTTCACTGTGGTAACTAGAGACTGGACAGCCTGCTTCTGCACAGTGGAGGATGTGCCCTTGGAAGATGCTGTCTCTACGCCTAAGGCTCCCTCTGAAGCCCCAGGAGATGACTTGGTACCAGGGTTTAGCCCCTTTAACATTCATTAGGAGTCTGGAAAAATCCAAAGGGGCCTCCTGCTGGAAGGGACCACACAGTACTTGATTCTAAAGTAAATCCCCGTCTGAAGTTGAACTCCCTGCACAGTATCCTCGCCAAGGGCATATCCGATTGGAGGCTGGTCTGTGGAACTGACTGCATCCCAGGCAGGCTGATCTACCTGGCTGTCAAAAGGTTTGATTTTCTATTGAGTTGCAATCTGTCTTGCCATCAAAATCTTTTTGCTTCTATATCCATCAAAAATGGGTTATCTCAGATTCTTACTGTTTGTTTTGAACACCAAGTACTTTTGGAATTAAAAACTTTTAAAAACAAAAAAAGCACTTTGAGAGAGAGCATGTCCCTGAGATAGTGGCTCTAAATAACGTGTCCTTGTCGATTTAAGGTAAAATGTTGGAATCATGATAAGTACTGGCTGAAAAGGAGATTCCTTTTGCAGGTCATCTGATACCACACACTCTAATGAGAGATCTGGGGAAGAGATAAACCTATCATGAACGACTCACCCTCCGGCTTGCTTGTTCAGAATATATTCCCTCTGCTTGTCCTGAAAACAAGGGGTTAATTTTATAAGGAAATGAAACTTTGCTAACCTCATTGCTGATGATACATTTATCTAAAGGGAGTTGACTGGCGGTCACCCATCTTAGGAGTACTACAAGTTACACAAATAAAGACATTTGAAGGAGCAGCTACTCACTAACCGTCCACTAGCAAGACGCCAGCATCAGTGGAAACCAGCAAGGCCTGGCCCCAGGGATCTGCACACACGGCTTCGTGAGGGAAATTACTGCAGAAACACTGGGGCTCCCAAGGCTGCGAGGCAACACAAGTATTGGAGAATAAGTGCACCAGAAAGAACAGACCGTGGCCCACCAGATGGGAATGTACAATATGCCACCTGAAACAGCAACACGGATATTCTCCAAACCCTGGTAGCTAAACGGGCTCTGGACTCAGTTCCCTCTCTCAGGAAGAAAAGTCTCCTTTCAAATACGCATGTAATAGGAAAAGAGTGAAGTCACAGGTTTGGCACCATGACCTGTCTCCATATTGTAATAATGCTCCTCGGGGGCAATCGAAAGCATTGGTAATGTTTTCTAAGCAAACATTTTTCTTTAACACCTGGAAATCAGGCCAATTAGTGCCTACTCTTTTGAGAATTCACATTAGTTCATCATAAAAGGATATCCCACAAAACACTATTAAAAAAGGTCAGATCCTGTGTTGCTGATTCAGCAAAATTATTAAACCATCCACAGTGAAAGAAATGGACATTATCTTAACATGAAAATGCTTATTGATTCATTTAGGGCTACAGAATCTTAAAGAAAAAATAACATCTGTCTGTAGGAATATGGCAAGAGCTGCTGATGAAACCTACTCGTGTTTCACCACATGTCATATTCATACCATGTGAACTCTTTAGTTTCATTTTCATTTCAGGCATAAAGAGTTAGTCCTCCTTCACATCAGAACTGCCTCAGAGCTGCGTGGGGACAGCTGGGGCCAGGAGGGCTTGTGCAGAGGGTCACGTTAGAATTGTAGACATTTTCAACAGAACCATTAACTTCCCTCCAAAGCACGTTGCTTGGCCTCAAAGGGCAAAGGTTTTGGAGATTCTCAGGGACAAGCTGAAGTCTTACATCTTCACTTTTACTCTCAATTAGACGCCCCAGCCAGGGCTGTACAAGAGCCCATGTGTGCACGTGTAGGTGTGCTTGTATGCACCAGGGGAACACACACTTGCATACTCAAAGTAGAAGTGATGGTCACCTTCAAGGGTGGCATTTGGGTTGAGGGTAAATGCTGTGTGTATTATTGCTATCTTAGAAAAGTATGTTCCCCCTTTAAGAAACCTAGAAGCCTCCAAAGGAATATTGTGCTTAATAAGGTGAGGCTTGGACTGTTCTCAAAAGGTCACACAAAGAATGTGAAGACATTTTATTAACCGAGAAAGGGCTACAGAAGCGCAGGTCATTAACTGGAATGGCATTTCCTCAAGAAGATTTCTGGAAATTCTGAGTTTGTGACTTATAGCAGGGGGACACGAAAAAGCAAAGTCAATATAAATGCCAACTGGGGGACAGACACAGACATCAGAGGATTAGGTAACACCAAGACAGAAAAACCAACTCTTAATAACAAAATGTTCTCCACCAGAGGACACACGTTTAGAACAGTTATGCAGAACAGGGGTTCTTAACCCAGAAGATCTAAGGGCCCTAGAGGGCCCATGGAGGGCTTACGGAGGTCTGTCCAACCCCTGAAATTGCATTCAAAATGTTGTATACATGTGCCATTTGTACATTTTAATGGGCTAGTGTGTGGAGGGGCGTCCATTGCTTTCATGGGTTCTCAAAGGGGCCAGGGACTCTGATGTCTGAGGACTGATGGCGTGTGCCCTTGCACTGGACACCCTTCCGTCACATGAGGGGCTCAGCGCAGATTCTGCAGGGCGAGAACGTTGTCTTTCAGGCCTTCCTGCCTGAACACAGGACTCTTCGCTGGCTCCTTTAAGAGCATGAACACAGCTCATGAAATGATGGATGCCTAGGAGGTTGACAAAGCCCATTCTTTGGAAATAGAACACTCTTGGGGACAGCCTGTGGGCCTGCGGCCTCTGCAGAGCCAAGTGCACAGCAGTCCGTGAGGCTCTAGAGCAGCGTTTCTCCAAGGACGGCCTGCGGTCCGCTGGCAGGTCAGGAACTGAGCCGACAAACGGAAGCTCTTCCTTTCTTGCTCACTGGTGAACAGGTTACAGCTCCACAGTTTCATTTTTATGTATGCCTAAGAGCTTCTTATTAATAAGGTTTACTAAATTTGGGACATGGAATGGGATTTATAATGTGGTGGGCAACACTGCAAATTCGACTACGTGCACGAACAAGCAGACAGTGGGAGTTATTGCAACCTTTGGAAAAGATGCTTGGCCATCGGTCTGGTCTTAAATTGGTTGTGGTTTTTAGCATCAACTGTATTTTAAGCTCATGATTTTCCTGAAACCAGACTTTAAAGTGTGTAGATTCTGCAATTCAGATACGAAGCATCTATACCTTTGTTGCTAAAGTAAATTTATTTGTAACTTCTTTGCTTTTATAACGGACACTTCTCTAGTGATGCACTTTGAATTTATTCGATTTAACTAATTTTAGCAAATTCTGAACATTAGACATAATTAAGTATACACAGGATATTGCTTTACAATAAAAAATCCTGCAATAGTAGGTTCATATTGCAACCTGTTTTTTTTTTTTCCTCTTCTCTTCTTGTTTACTACCTAGTTCTTTTTCCACATGAAGTGGAAATGAGAAGTAGACACACAGGCCAGAGAATTTTTTGGCTGGCTGCATGAACTGTGGAGTAAGCCGTGGTTTCTCAGCTGTGGTCCCTGCACCAACAGCATCAGCGTCACGGAGGAACTTGTTAGAAATGCAAATCCTCAGGGCCTACCCCAGACCTATGGGGTCAGAAACTCCACGGGTGATTCTAATACACACTACAGCTTGAGAAACACTGCCCTAGAGCCTTGCTGTATAGACCGTGTCTGTGGTCAGCCGTACAGGCACCACACGAGAGCTTGTTGGAAATGCAGAATCTCGACCCATCCCAGAGCTGCTGGATCAGAACATGCTTTTGGCCAAGATGTCCAGGCGGTCTGCAGGCACGCAAAGCTTGAGTTGCATTGCTGCGCCCAGTCTGCCTGACCAGGCCTGGTCCAGCAGCTCTGCTCCATTTAAGCATGCAAAGGCACGTGCATGCTATAGAAATAAGGAGGCTCCCACTAAACGCCTACCCAACCTTACCTGCGGCTTCCTTGAGGACTCCAGTAGGCCAGCTCCTCTTCCTCTTGCCCTACAAACCTCCTTCCAAGAACTGCAGTAACTTCATTGAGGACAACGGACATTCACAGTTGAACTTGAAAGTATTATCAACTCACCTCTTTCTTACAGATCCCTGAAGCTGCCAGGCTGGACGGAGCATCCCCTCTCACAATGGATTTCAGTTTTAGCGCCTTACAAAACAGAGGTTTCTTTTTAAGTTTGTTATCAGGCAGTAAAAGAATGGCAGGAGAAACAATTATGATTTGAAAAAAAATTTTCACTAAAACAGGAGTCACTTCAGACTCCAGTTTCAGGTTCGCACACCGTGTTATCACTGAAGATAAGGAAGGAAGTTAGCTGGATATGGTGAAGCCCTAATGACGATGTCTCAGCCCAAATTAGCCCAAATGCTTTCTGTCATTTCAATTAATCAATATAACAGTACAGTGATTTCCAAACCACGAGCACTGAAAAAAGTTCCCAGGTCCCTCCTCAAACTTGATGAATCAGAATCTCTGAAAGTATCGTCGGGGTATCTTTAAGGACCAACAGTGAAGAGCCCATGAGAGGGGGCACCTGTTCTGGGAAAAAGTTATCTTTGCCTCTAAGCTGTCCTTGATCACCTTGTTTAGCTCTCTACTTCTGGGTCAGGACCTTATCTGCAGGTGGTGGCATGCCTCCTTCTCTCTGTTGTGACATGGCATCAAGGCAGAAGGCTGTGTCACCTCCCAGAAGTGAGAAATACTAATGTGACGTGGAGCGAGGCAAAGGGGGAGGGCTCTCCTCCTGGAATAAGGTGATGGCTGGGAGCCACCTAATTGGGATGACTGCTTCCACGCAGTAGGGTGGAAATTCAGGTCTTCTGTGAGGACACTGGGTGCTTCCTCCTGCCAGGAAGGAGTTCAAGGCGATTTTCCCAAATTGGATCCCCACTTTTCAGAAAATTCCCAGGAGGCAGGCAAGTGGTACATGCTCCCTTGATGAGAGGGAGCCCAGACTGGGCCCTGGGTGGCCTCTTGCTTCCAGCCAGCAGCACTGCTTCTTCTGAAGACTGCTCTTCTCTCACTCACATCCGCAGAGACCTACACTTACATGGTTATCAAAAATCCCACTTGTGGTGTCCACAACAATCCTAAGAGAAATTACAGAGCTCTAAAGGAGTACACGAACATAATATTGTTTGCAGGTGGGCCGTCTGGTTTGGACGGGAGTCACAACTACAGGTCATGCAAAAAAGGTTCCAGAATAAAACCCACCTGCCCTATTCTAACAAACTCTGCCTGGCGGGCCTCCTCTTTCTTCCGTGCTGACTTGGGCGATTCTGGTAAGACATCACTAAAAGATCGTCTATTAAGCATGTTCTAAAAAAGAAAAACAAGTTATAAATTCCAAAAATGGTGGTCAAGTCTCATCCCTTGGCTTCTCCGAATGCACAAACCTCTTTGTCCAGATGGTCCTGTTTCTGCCTTCAGTATGCATTCACTCGATAAGCATTTATGGAGCACATGTTATGTGCCAGGGTCTGTGCTAGATGCTAGAGATAAAAGAGCCGCAGGTGGAGAGCCAGTGCTGCATAACGGCCGACAGCATGGGCTTTGAAATCAAGCGGACCAGCGGCTCCATTACTTACTAACTTCCTAACATGTTGCCCAGCTCCAGGGAAGCCACTGTCATAGAGTGGCGCCCCCTGGAACACAACATACTGAATTCTGTGCGAATGATACCTTGGAGTTGAGTTGCGCAGCTCGGTGGCCCTCTGGGTAACTCTGGGCAAGTCAGTTAATTTCTGAGTCTCAGTGTCTTTGTGTGACTAATACCTGTCTCCCAGGTGTGTTATGAGGACTGAGTGAGGTATCGCACGTATGGTACTTAGCACAGTGCTTGGGCACATACTCAGTGAATGTTAGCTCTCTTCCAGACCCCAGTCAGAGAATTGGGTGCACTCAGTCAGCAAGTACTGACTGAGCGCCTAATACTCTGCCAGATTTGGGCATGTGATACACACAGTGTCTGTCCTCGTGGAGTCCAGAGTCTAACAGGAGAAACAGACTAAGTAACTGATCACGTGATTGGCACGTGGGATAATTTCTGTGAAGGGGAAGTACGTGAAGTGTCTGAGAGCATTTAACAGGGGGACCGTGCTTCATCTAGGGGTTGAGGAAGGCCTGCCTAAGGCAGCGAGGCTCCATCTAAGACCTGAAGGACATCATGTACTCATCTTGGCATGCTCTCTGTACCCTTCCTTGACCTGAGAGGAAAAAAAGGAATTGACAGATTATCGATTATGGCTTGCTCTTTAGGGCCCTGGGCTTAGTCTGGCCCAGTCCGTGTGAGTAGTTAGGGCATACTGACCAGCCAGAAGTCAAGGGGTGCCTACAAAATGGTGCTGGTCACTGTGCCGAACGGAAAGGACTACACGAGCGTTAGCTCATTTTCATTCTTCACGTCCCCTGGGCAAGCACCTGAAAGCTGATGCTACATTTATTCACACACATCATCAGCAACTCTTTCCCCTGGAGCTCATGAATGCACGGATTCCAGGGGATCTCCTCACGTGTTCTGTGCTTCCTTGTTAAATGCGGAAAATGCTTCTTAACAATGATTTTGCTCCACATTAACGAGTCCCTGACATCAGGTGATCTCACACTGAGTCTGGAGGCCTCCAAAAGCATGGGTGCCCTTGAGGCGCTGGTTCCTCCAGGGAGGCGCTGGGTCTCATCAGTGTGGATGTACTCCAGGCCTAGGCAGAGGCTGGCACAGAGCGTATTTTCAGTAAATGTAAGTACTTGTTTCAGTGCCTGAATATGGGGCTGGCCAGTGAGTCTCCAGAAAACCTTAAAAAGCACGCAGTCTTTCTCCACAACCCCCACATCGAGCCCGTCCATCAGCTCTATGGCGTGGTAATGTGGAGTAGTACCACCAAGGACCCAAGGACAGCCACCCCCAAAAAGCACTCTCCAATGCTCCAGAGATTGCTGACGGACACTTATACCCCCAGCCTGCACTTTGACTTCCTCAGGCCCTGGCTTTATGAAAATCACATTCCTGCACATGGACATTCAACACCCCTCCTTCTTATGGTAACAGTGAGAGAACATCAGCCCCTATGTAGCCACAGTCCAGTCTTGACAGCAAGGATCAAGGTGACTCCTCTGCTTTTCTGATCAGGACTCACTGCCAGGACCTGTGTTCTCAACTCAGACCCCATGAGAAAGAAAGAGGACCACGGACCCAAGCTTACCTTATGTAAATCTGGCATCAAATCCTGGTACAAAGATCGAATCAACATATCCAGAGTACGTCGACGTTTCTGGGCAAATGTCGGGGTTTCCAAAGTGGCTTTTTCACCATTAATTACTAAAACATATCAAGATATAAAGTGAATTACAAATATTAACATGCTATTGAAGAATGTCCTTCTCAAGGAAACTCCTCACTGTGACCACCACCCACTTTCCCGACACTGGTATTACCATCGGTATTACCCTTCCTTCATGGAAGAGTGTTAAAAACTCTCCATTTCTCTATACAAACCCACACAGTCCATAGGTATGTCTATCTTACCTGTCCTTTTGGACTACAAGCTTCCTAAGCAGAGGGTACATCTAATTACCTGAAGACCTCATTAGTACACATCCAACCTGCCCCCATCCACCATTTTACCCATTCTACTCATCTTATCCATCCATCTATCCATCCATCCATCTGCCCATCTATCCTACTCATCCACCCACCCATCCATTCCTCCACCCACCTACCCACCTATCCACCCACCCATCCAACACATGGATCAAACCACTAGGATGCTATTCAATGGGATTAAATATATATTTGCTGCATTTTGTTAGGATAATAAGAATTGCCTAAGCAGAGAACTAGGATTCTTAGCCTAATGGAAGTTTCTTCTGGAAAAAAATGCTGGCAGTTAAGTGGACCACAGACACTAAGAGTCAATAAAGTGGGATGTCCGGTTACACATTAGAGCACAGAGCAGAAAGTATGCAATAGACGTTAGGAGCTTGAAGTCAAGACGGCGACAGGTTTGAATCCCAGCTGTGCTGCTATCTGTACATTCTTAAGCAAATTACTTAGCTTCTTGAAGCCTCAGTTTTCTACCCTGAAAAATGGATATAATCAGATTTCCTTAAGGTTGCTGTAGAATTTAAATGAGATAATAAGTATAAAGGGTTAGCAAAGTGCTGGGCATATTGAACTGAATAAATATCAACTAATATTTTTCTCTTACAGAGGGACAAAGGAAGGGCAGTGTTCATATACAGAAAAATGACCTTCTTGGGGACAGGCATTTCCTAGGTAGGATCTGTGTGCTGGGGGCAAGTTGGGCTTGTTTGTGGCAAGACACCTCTTAAGGAATCTTTTAAACTATGCGTGTATACCATTTTCTTTAATTCTGTGACTGGGAATTTTTTGTTTGAGGATTTTTTTGTCCTTAGTACTCCAGAAAAATCCATTTAAAATGACTTGTTTTAGCTGAATAAGTGGAAAAAGTCCAGATTTTTCTTGAAATGCCATTTCCTGTTATCTCAGAGTTTTCTACCTGGCCTACTTTCTCTGTCCTGCTAACTCTACTGTGGAATTCAAAGAGCCTCTGATCCCTGGGCTTATCCCCTTTCTCCAGTCCATCAGCCCCTCCTGGTCCCTCCTGGCTCCACACTCCATTACGTCCATACACCCTCTTCATAACCAGCTCCATATTCTTCCATTATATCTCCCTTTCAAATCTTCCACTATAAATCAACTGAACCCTTCATTTCATTTCATCCAAAGCCTCTGAGGGGGCTGAAGACGGTCATTGTGTTGGCTGGTTCCATTTAAGTCAACAGATTCCATTAACAAGCTGGGTCCTTAGTGTCGCTAGGCCATCACTAACCAATCTGTGCCTAAAGGACCACATGCCCACAGCAGTTCCTTCTCTGCGACAGGTCTTCCACAAAGAGTGCTTACCTCCTGGGCCCAGGTGCAAGACCACTTCAGCTTCTAGCTGCTAAACCTACTCTCTGCTGCTCACTCCTTGTTTCTGGTTTATTTCTTGCTCTCTGCCTGATCCTCTGGACTTGAAACGCATCGATCCCACAGTTTTAAGACTCAGGCAATTTCATATAGAATCTCAGATTTCTGGCTTGTTTCGAAAACTCAGAATAAAGGGCAACACTGGGCTCATGCTCCCGAATGGCATCAACTGGCTGGAGCAGAACGTTTGCTTTCCTAGCCCTCCTTACTGTGCCACGCTGGCCCACTTCACTCCTTCATATTCCCCACCCATCTCTCCAGGCGAGTGAGTTTGTGACCCCTGCTATAGCATTTGAAATAAGGTATGTGGATATTGAAAAGGAGATGAATCAGCATCTTATGCAAGAGATTTGCAACGTTTGCTGCTTCTAATGTCAGGGTGAGACATTACCCAGGACCCTGGCGTAGGTTAAATGTGTGAGATAACAAACCCAGGCGGCCCAGCCAGGAAGCAGAGGGAGCCCCAGCGCAGGCGCTGTTCATTTCTCCATTCTCCAGAAGGCAGTTCTGGAAGCAGGCGGAGACCTTTACAAGGGACTGGAGGGGTTTTACAGAGGGGACAGAGGTTATCAAGTGCTGTGGCTGGGACTGGGGTGCTTCGGTCCCTGGAGTTAAGTGACACTCATCTCTTCAAGTGTCACCTGCATGGGCAGATGGACAGGGGAACTGTTGTGTGGATGCTGACGAAGGATGCACGATCAGGGCTGTGAAGGAGAGACTGGGGAAAGAAGACAAAGGGGGGATAACATGCTCCTGTCCCTCGCCTTGGCCTGAGGGATTGGTTTTGGCCATCATGGCAGTAAGGTTAAGACCGGAAGCTGAGGGAGCAGTTGCTCCCGAAGGACTTTGTGAGGCTCAATCAGTGCTACCTCGGGGCCAGGTGACCAAGATGGGTTCTAGAGAGGACAGGAGCATTTCCAAATGCTCTAAAACCACACAGAGACAGTGACAGCATTAGGCAAAGACTCCGTGTGTGTGTGTGTGTGTGTGTGTGTGTGTGTGCTCATGCGCGCACGCACGTGCATGCGTGTGTGGTGCAGGGGGGATGGGGAGGTAGCCAGCAAAGCAGCTGCAGTGTCCAGAGTGCCTGGAAGAAGGAGAGAAGGCAGCATCATCACAGAGGGCACAGAATGAGCGGCACTGCCAGCACCCCAGGGCTTGCAGGCCTGGACTTCTAGCCATAACAACCGCGGGATACTCCGGGTGGGGGGGTGCGGCAGAGCTCTTGTGGTTCAGAAGATGCAGGCTCAGAGTCAGGTATTCAGGTATTACCGGTGGAGCTAAATGTACACTCACCAGCTAGTGAAGCCCAGGGCAGTCAGGTTCTACTCACGTCATCTTCATATTTTCTGTCTCTCTGTCTCTGTCTGTCTGTCTGTCTCTCTCTCACACACACACAGAGACCTAACAACTCTCCTATTCCCAAGTACGTATCTATAACCACTCTTTGCCCCACATACATCCCACTCTCTGACAAAGACAAAGATACGCACATAAGCAGAGACTCAGAAATGGTCATATCGGAACCCTGGGCCGAAAGGTAAATTTGAGGCCCTCTGGGATTGTGCGTGGGTGAGTGTGGATAAACTTCACGGCGGTGGGTAGGATGGCAGGTATAGATGAGGACAGGAGACAACCTACACACCACTGCCAGAAAACTAAACACATTTCAGGTGAAGAATTAACAGAACACAGAATCCTTAAACAATGGTATTTTCTTATACAGCATCCCGGGAGAATTCCAAGCAATGTAGTTAGATGTAGAACACGTTGCAAAAACATTTCAAAACAGAAACTTACATTTCACTAGCAAAAAGTCCCTGAATTCCTGGTGGTCTGTAAACACCGGGGGGGATGGTAAGGGTGGGCCAAAGAGTGGTACGCTTTCTTCTGAAAATATTTTCAGCCTATGTAGAAAACATTTCAGAATTACTTGGTTTTTCTTCAAAGATGACCAATATTTGGACCTTAAATTTGGCCCGTTGCTTCTGTGATATGTTAGGAGTATTCATTCCATGGGAGTGCCTTCTCTGGGCTCCCAGAGCCTCAGCCAGCAGGCAGCTCTCCCTGTGTCCTGGAGGACAGAGGCCAAGTCTTCCCGAATCCTTTGTGGTCCAACCCACCAGGCCACGGGCAAGGTCAGGGACCCCAGGAATAACAGCAAAGGCCACCATTGAGCACCACTGCATACCAGCAGTGTACGTGGTATTTTAAGAAAGAGCATCGACTGATTCTCACCAAACCTGTCACAGTAACATCAACACCTTTATTCTACAGACGAGGCCTGAGGCTCCGAGAAGAGAAACAATTTTTTCAAAGCCTCAAAGTTAATAAGTGACAGAGCTAGGATCCCAATCCAAATCAATTTGGCTCAAAGTTCATGCTCTTCTCACATATAATACCTTTTAACATATTGATTTTTGAGAACAGAAGGATAAACAGGCAGTGACGTGGCCTAGGAAAGGGGGTACTCGGGTCAAGAAGAAACACACCAAATTTGTTCCCATTGCAAAGTACCATAAAATTCCAAACCAATCCTGACCCTTGGGTCTACTGCACAGAGCAAAACTATATGGAACAAGTCCTTCCTAAAGAGATGTTGGCTTTGGACAAAGTTCTACAAGGTGAGACACTCCTTTGAAATCAATAAAGAAATATGTATATCGAGAGTCTCATAAAATCAATGCCAAATTAACAAGCAGACATGAGAAATAGAACAAGCGATGGAGAGAAAGTGATCACCTACCTGTAATTGTCATTTTGTTGATCATACCTCACTAAGGCAAAAATATCTGCGGGGATGGTTAAGGAAGCTAATCAACTGCCCGGATGCTCACGGTCAACGGCTCGTGCTTTGGAAATCCCTTGTACAGAATCATCTAGACCCGCGCTTCTGTGGTCAGGGCACCCATCACTCTTAGGTCGAGATAGAAACTTGACTTTCTTTAAAAGAGACAGCCCAGGAAGACACAGGTTCATCTTCTGTCTGCTCATCCTTCGGGGAAGGGCTAAATCTCCAAATCTCTCAGAAAAGCAATATAAATAAAGCTATTAAGCATCTAAGCAGGAAACAAAGCAAAAAGAGCAATTTTCTTCTTGCCTGGAAATACAAGCAAGATCCCGATATGAAATTAGCCATATATTTCATCTCATACATTTTGGAAAGAAAAGCAATTTAGATGTTTCCACTTCCCCTTCTCTCCTTCAGGCTTCAGTAGACAAAACAAACCAACATAGCTGGTGGCAGCCTCTCAGCAGAATCTACTTTGCTGTTAGACCGGTACCACACTTCCATCCTGCTTTTCTTTCTTTCTGCTCCTCCTCCTCCTCCCCCACCGTCTCCCACCCCCAGCTTTCCTTAGCCAGGGCTAACGAGTCATCAACCCCTCAAAGTGTTTCCATTCCTAGACTCAGTGGAAGGAAACCGCATTAACTATGCTCATCCATTTCCAGAAACAAATGTGCCAACCCCCAAATCTGAAATGTATCACAAAAGGAAATTCTAAGAATAATGACTACTTCTCAGTCACCTAAAGGGTCACCTCCTCCCCGCCTCCTGCACTGCACCTGGAGAAGTTTCTGTTCTACAAGAACCACTGCAGGAAGGGGGAATTATTAGTCCTAAATCCCAGGGAACACAGGAACATACCACTTAGCAAGCAGGGAGGAGAACAAAAAAATTACTATTTAAAGTGTAGGTGCATATCTGTTTTCTCCTCTGCTCTCGTGGAAGAATTATGGCAATTTCCAACTTTTAAAAATTTACACACTATATTGTTAGGTTACAATGAATAAGTCAAAGTATACAGAGCACCCTATTTTCAGATGCAAAGAGTTATAATGGTCTGTCTCCCAACGTTTTTACTATAGTCTCTAGGGAACATGAATAATGACCAGAATTTATTCTGGAAACGCCTATTAGTTGCCTTGTACTTATTATGTACAACTTGTAGAGCCACCACCTTTGGGTCTCACTGTTGTGGCCTGTGACCCAGAGCAACAGGGCCATGACTGGGTATCTGTTGGGCTGGTCATGTCAGGTCCATGCCTGTCTGAGTGAGCTGAGCTTGGACATTACTGAGAACCTCAGCGGGACCCTGCCAGCCGTGTGAGCTAAACAGGGATTAGAAGGAGCGGAGGGGAAGCAAATGAAAATATGGCTAATTCCATCATTTCTCACATTCCAAGAGATGGTAGTGCAGCAGCTGTTACTAAGGCTCAGAATTAACAGAGAAAAATCATTTTGGCTTTTTATCTTAACTTGCAAGTTTTTATACCTAAAGTAAATTTCTCAGAAGATACCCTACCTATAATTCTTCTAGTTCATTTATTATTGATGGATGGTAGGAAGTTTCCCTCATTTCACAGACTATCTGAGGGAGGGGAAGCTATTTCACAAGTTCAGAATTCTCTGAGGATTAATCCATCCATTACTCCAAGGGATGGAGAGAGAAAGGGAAAAATACAATGTTGAGGAAAAAACCCAAAATGGTGGGTCTAGGAATTCAACAGTGTGAAAGAAGTCAAGCACAGCATTGGTCTGAGGGTCACTTTAGGTCCAGTGAGGCTGAACAACAGCTCGCTAAACGGGAGCGTTCCCGAAGGCCCAGGATACGTGTAAAATGCGAGCGGATCATGGAAGGCTTAAAGGCAGGAGAAGGTTCCTCTCCTTCCTGGAACACAATGGTGACAATATCGTTTCCAATGTGGCGCTTCCTTTCCACCTGGATGTAAGCATAAATGACATCACTGAGAAGGTCACTCAAACATGGCAGCTGCACAGAGTTAAAAAACAGAACACAATACGACAATCCACAATCACGGCCAGGCGCCCTGAACTTCAGCCATCTTTGGCTTTTTGCCTCCCGTGTTTTCGCAGCCCCCAGTCTCCCGGCTCTCCTCTCCACCTCCTCCGCTCCTCCCCAAATCAGGCCTGCAATCCCTCTGGTCCATCCTTCCATGGAAGCCTCCTAGCTAGCCTCCTGGCCTCATTCTCTCCCATTCTCTGCTCTGATCGCGTTCACCTTCTCTCATCATCTCCTTAGGCTGGCATTAAAGGTCCCCAAACAAGAGGCATCGCATCAGCATTCCCTGGGGATGGGACTCAAGTGTCTATTTTTATGAATGCCGTAGCTAGTTCTGAAGCACATATTTGGTGAGAACAATGGCCCTACCTAGTCTGACCCCAGTTGACCTTTCTAAAACGATCTCCTAGACCTGTGGTCAGCAAATTTTTTTCTGTAAACGGCCAGACGTTAAATATGTTCAACTCTGTGGACCATGTTGTCTCTTCGCAACCATGCAGCTCTGCCATTGCGGTGCAGAAGCAGCTACAGACAACACATACGTGGGGGGGCGTGGCTGTGTGCCAATAACACTTATTTAACAAAACAGGCAGCATGTTGGCTTTGGCCGATGGGCCATAGTTTGCCAACCCCTGTCACAGACCTTAGCTTAATCAGCCAAATAGAAGGAGTCCCTGTTCTCCACGGATCCCTGTGTGTCCCCTATTCCACACTGTGAGCTCCTGGGGAACAGGATCCCTGTCTGTTTCATATGAGATATTTTTTCCATTTTTCAAATGAGGAGACCAAGGTTTAGAGAGGTTCTAATAATTTCAATTCAATTCAGTTAAAAAAGTAATTATTGGGGCTGGCCTCATGGCCAAGTGGTTAAGTTCCACATGCTCTGCTTTGGTGGCCCAGGGTTCACAGGTTCAGATCCCAGGCGTGGACCTACTCCACTTATCAGCCATGCTGTGGAGGCATCCCACATACAAACTAGAGGAAGACTGGCACAGATGTGAGCTCAGGGCTACTATTCCTCAAGCGAAAAAAAGAGGAAGATTGGCAATGGATGTTAGCTCAGGGTGAATCTTCCTCACCAAAAAAAAAAAAAAAAAAAAAAAAAAAATTTTTGGCAATGATTTCTTGAATATGACACTAATAGCATAGCCAACAAAAGAAAAAATAGATAAACTGGACTACATCAAAATTTTAAACTTTCATGCATCAAAAGACACTATCAACAGAGTGAAAAGGTAACCAGCAGAATGGGGGAAAATATTTGAAAATCATATATCTGATAAGGGGTCATACCCAGAATACATAAAGAACTCCTACAACTCAACAACAAAAAAACAAATAACTCCATTAAAAAATGGGCACAGGACTTGAATAGACATTTCTCCAAAGAAGATATACAAATGGCCACAGGAAAAGATGCTCAGTACCACTAACCATTAGGGAAATGCAAATCCAAATCACAATGAGATCCCACCTCACACTCATCAGGATATCCATCACAAAAAAACAAATAGAGAATAACAAGTGTTGTTGGGGATCTGGAGAAATCGGACTCCTCGTGCATTGCTGGGGAGGACGTAAAGTGGTGCAGCTGTCGTGGAAAATGGTCTGGGGGCTCCTCAAAAAATAAACATAGAATTACCATCTGATCCAACAATTCCATATGTGGGTATATACCCCAAAGAATTGAAAACAGGGACTCAAGAAGATATTTGTACACCAATGTTCATAGCAGCATTATTCACAATAGTCAAAAGGTGGAAACAACCCAAATGTCCATCAACGGGTGAATGGATAAACAAAATGTGGTATGAACACGCCATGGAATACCATTTAGCCTTAAAGAGGAAGAAAGTTCTGAGATGCTGCAACATTAATGAACCTTGAGGACATTGTGCTAAGGGAAACAAGCTAGACACCAAAGGGCAAACGTTGTATGACTCCACTTATACGAAGTATCTAGTCAAATTCACAGGAACAGAAAGCAGAACGGTAGTTGCCAAGGGCTGAGGAAGGGAGAACCGTGGAATTACTGTCTAAGAGGCACAGAGTTTCAGTGTGGGAAGATAAAACGTCTAGAGATGGAGGGCGGTGATGATTGCACAACACTGCCAACGTACGTAATGCCACTGAACTGTATACTTAAAAGTGATCAAAGGGCCGGCCTGGTGGCGCAGCGGTTAAGCACACACGTTCCGCTTCAGTGGCCTGGGTTTGCCGGTTCGGATCCCAGGTGCGGACATGGCACCGCTTGTCAAGCCATGCTGTGGTAGGCGTCCCACATATAAAGGAGAGGAAGATGGGCACGGATGTTAGCTCAGGGCCAGTCTTCCTTGGCAAAAGAGAGGAGTAATGGTAGCAGATGTTAGCTCAGGGCTAATCTTCCTCAAAAAAAAAAAAAGAACTATAAAAATAAAAAAGTGATTAAAATGGTAAATTTTATGTTGTCTATGTTGTACCACAATAAAATAAATAATTATTGATCCATAAACTGATGAATGAACAAACAAAATGTGTTATATATCTATACAATGGAAAATTATTCAGCAATAAAAAGGAATGAAATACTGTCACAGGCTACAACATGGATGAACCTGAAAACATGCTAAGTGCAAGAAGCTAGTTACAAAAGCCCACATATTGTAAAATTTCATTGACGTGAAGTGTCCAAATAGGCAAATCCATACACACAGAAAGTAGATTAGAAGCTACCAGGGGCTGGGCAGGGGTGGAGTGGGGAGTGACGGCTAAGGGGAGAGGGGTTTCTCTTCTGGGGAATAAAAGGTCCTAAGATGGATTGTAGTGACAGCTGAATAACCTTGTGAAAATACTTAAGTGGGTGAATTGTATAGTATGTGAAATGTACCTCAATAAAGCTTTTATATATTTTTAAAAAGTAATTACTGAGATCCTACCATGTGCCAGGAACAAAGGAGACAAAAATCCCTGCCTCTTGGGGTTTACGCTGGCAGGGGGCACACAAATTACAAGGAAGCATAATACAACAGTACGACTACTTGTTGGGAGGTGTAAGGGCCACGGAAAGAAGAGAACAGCGTCAGGGGGCTGGGGGCACTGGTGGTGGGGGGCGGATGCTTCAGATAGAGCCATCAGGGTCAGTTTCACAGTTTCCATGGAGTCGATCTGAAGGAGGCGAGCCAGTCAGCCAGTGGGGATCTGGTGGAAGAGAGTTCTAGGCAGAAGGAAGGGCAACACAGAGGCTGTGAAGTTGGACACTATCTGGTGACTCTAAGGAGCAGGAGAGGAAGCCAATGTGACTGGAAGGGAGTAAGCAGAAGAGCAGCGGGCGATGAGATGAGAGAAGGACTAGAGGTCCCGCCCGACCTTGCAGGCCATTGTAAGGATTCCGGCTTTGACTCTGAGTGAAGTGGGAGCCTGGACGGTTTGCGAAGAGAAGCGACATGATCTGACTTGTGTTTTAAAGAGTCACTGTGGCTGATGGATTGAGAAACAGCATCAGGGGACAGAGTGAAAGCAGGGAGGCCAGAGAGGAAGCTACTGCAGTCATCCAACAGGCGATGACGGTGGCTCGGAGCAGGGTAGTAACAGAAGGGTGAGAAGTGGTCAGATTTTAGATATAATTTGGAGGTAGAGCCAACAGGATTTCCTGACAAATTGAAAATGGGATAAGACAAAGAGAGAGGAGTTGAGAATGACTCCCAGGTTATTTTGCCCTAGAAACTAGAAGAACAGAATAGCCATCAACTGGGATAAGAAAGAGTACAGGAGGAACAGGTTTGGAAGAGAGTCAGAGTTTAGCTTGGGACATAGTAGGTTTGAGACGTCTAGCCCAGTGGAGGAGTTGAGAAGGTTGCACACCTGAGTCTGGAGTTCCGGAGAAAGGTCTGGCTGGAGATGTAAATTTGGGTGTCACTGGCATATAAAAGCTATTTAAAGCCACAAGACTGGATGAGATCATCAAGGGAGTGAATGAGTGTAGAAAGAGAAGAGGACCGAGAACCGAGCCCTGGGGCATGGCAACGGACACAGTGTGCCCAAGAGCACAGAGCTAGCTACACGGCAGAGCTGGGATTTGGCCCAGACCTGGCTGATCACAGAGCTCATGCTTTCATCTGGTACCAGATGCTGCTGTCGGGTCTGCAGTGCTGGGAGACTAGACGACGTCAGTGGTGCTGGACACCAGGGATGTTAGGAAGAAGGTGAGGCCCCAGAGAGGCAAACGTTGACACCTCTCCTTCCCCCGTTATGGTTGGGTATGGTGACAGAGGGAGGAGACAGATGGAAGAAATTATTGTAATACCAGAACCTACAATAGCTTTGTGAAAATGTGTTTCTTTCAATCAAATTTGAGATGTGGCTCGGACTGTTTCACTAGTGTTCTAGATGTAAGGAAGTTAAAAGCCACCAAGATTTTATGAGCCTGGCTGGTCTGACTTTTTGACTGTTACCTTAGGCCCCCAAGAGACCAAGACAGGTAGAGAGAGGTTCCCAGTTAGCGGTCCTTCTCTGTTCTCCCACGTGAGGCACTGCTAAGTGTCGCTAGCATTCTGCATTTGTCTCTCTTCCCACCTGCAGTATCTCCCTGGTAACAGAGACCAGTTTATCATTGTGATTTTCTTCCTATCTGCTGATGCTGGGCAAGTGGCAAGTGGAGGTGCCAAGCACTACCCGTGGAGCCAGCCACGATGTTGAGAACACCAGGGTCCGTGTGGGAACATTTCAGTGCTCCTGGTGAGTGCTGCTGCATCGTAATAGGCTAAGAGCCCTCTCAAAAAGATAAAGTTAAAGCCTTATGAGTTGGGCAGAGGCCTACCTGGCATAGGACATGGCAATTCTGGTGAAAGTACAGGGACGAAAAGTGTGGAGTTGGGGAAGGAGGAGGATTGTAAAATATTTCACTAGAAGTTTCTTGGTATTGTTGAGATGCAAGAGGTCAATGCAATTCACGGTGCCTGGGAAGGCCAGTGTGGTCTCCCTTCTCCATGTGACCCCAAGACCCTAGAGCTTCAGCTCCTGAGAGGTGGAGCCTGGTGGCAATAATACAGGTATCCTCAACCACATAAAGAAGAAGCCTTGCAGAAAGTTACTCACAGCCGCTTCAGCAGTTTTCCTGGGCCCAGGCACGTCCTGCTTCTACCTGTCCTCTCCCAGAGTCAGCTGTCTAAAATCAGAACAAGCTGAAAATCTCCAGGGGGTCTCCACTGCCTGCAAGACAGTCCGCCAGCTCTTTGTGCGGGCCCCAAACCATCAAACAGAACTAGCTCTTCCTGCCTCTCCCTGCATGTCCTCAAAGCACCTTTCTATCCCATGACTGTCGCACCACATTTTAGCCTAATGATCTGCTTTGTGTCTTTCCCCCTTACTGAAGTCTTATTGAAACAAGAATTCAAAGTGCTCAGAAAAAAGCTTTTTTAGCCCTATCACATATCCTCTTTGGGTTCATATTTCTCACAAATCCTTGTTGAAGAACTGTCCATTTATTTATTTAGAGGAAGATTAGCCCTGAGTTAACATCTGCTGCCAATCCTCCTCTTTTTGCTGAGGAAGACTGGCCCTGAGCTAACATCCGTGCCAGTCTTTCTCTACTTTTTATGTGTAGGATGCCTGCCACAGCATGGCTTGTGAAGCAGTACACAGGTCCGCACCCGGGACCCGAACCAGCGAACCCCGGGCCACCAAAGCAGAACATGCGAACTTAACTGCTGTGCCACCGGGCCGGCCCCCAACTTTCCATTTATGTTTGTGATATTTATTCATACAGATGCCTTCAATGTGGAACAAAGGGATAAGAATGTAACAAAGAGTTACAATGAACTCCCCAATCCTTCAAAATCCAGCAGCACGTGTAGCTGTTATATCTAAATTCCAACAAATTGGAAATTTTTCTCCTGAAAATGGTCAATCTCTGGGCTGGGTGAGGAGTGCCTCAGCTAGTTTTTTTTCCCAACATGGCACAGCCCACGCAGACACTCAGCGTTAATCTCCTGCATTAACCTGAAAAACACCTGCCCGCTATTACTCAAGACCCACTCATTTTATTCCCAGATAGTCTCATTCTGACAAGACACAAGTCACACTGAGAGAAGTCACAGAGAAAAGGCAACGGAGAGAGAAAACTGTCTCTCAGCAGTTTTTAAAACCACACTCACACACACGCAAACACACACGCACACAAGTTCACACACAAACACACAGGCGCCCTAGTACCTCTGACCCTTTCTTTCGTTTAGGGGAGAGCATCACTTCTTCCTAAGGCTTGTCGAAAGTTCAAATAGACAGACGGGAAACAACATCCCTAAACTGGTGCCTAAAGTTCAGCTCCTATATTAACATATCTAGTCTCTGATTCAGTGAAATCCTAATGATGCTTTCTCCACATTCAGGTCACTATTTGGCGTTTAGTGTGTTCTCAAAGAGCCTGTGTTCACACGTACCTGCTGTTTGTTCTCTTTGGAATATGGCAGCATGGTGGAGACATGAAACATGATCTCGTGCCCTTGGTATACAGTGTAAACGGAATGGATCCCTGTGGTATCGTCTGTAAAACACAAACATGCATTTAGCGCACAGAGAATTCTGGGACCAGGAGGAAGCAGTCTCTACTTGCAGACTGGAGGAATATAGTACACAGTTAGTACATTCCCAAAGACCGTTCTGGACTATCCACCTGAGTGGAAGCAACAATACGGATCATCCTCTAACTGATGCAAGGCTCCTGCCCACGTGGAGAGACTCCTTCCTCCCCCGCTAAGCCGCCTGCTGTCTGATTCATGCCTTGCCTTGGAGTAGACTAGGTCAGGAGAAACCTGGGCTAAAAAGGAGAATGTGTTACAACTCCTTGCCTTCCAGTTACCGCGGGTGTATAGGACAAAATTAACACAAGATGACACACAAATGACTAGTACGTCCATAAAACAAAAGGAAGACTCTCACTGGCAGAACTGTCTGGTGGTTAAAAGCATGGGCTTTGGAGTGAGGAAGACGTGGGTTCAAGTTCTCATTAGCTATGTTCCTTTTGATGAGTTACCTCACCTTTCTCGAAGCCTCTGTCTTAATTTGAAAATGGGGATAAGAATAGTATCTAACTCCTATTAGAGATGTTGGGAAGCCTCAACAAGATTCTACTCGTAAGATGCTTGGCAGAATGCCTGGCCATAGCAAGGGCTCAAAGGACCCTACAGAGACACAGAGAGTCGGCAAGGCGAGGATGAACTTGCACGCATTCCATGATTCACCAAGTGCATACACAGCTTGTCGGGGTGAAGCTGGGGCCTGACAACTGGGACCAAATACTTCATCCTGCATCTGCCAGTTAAGCTCCTCATGGTGCAATTCTCACAAATTGCCTGACTTCCCCACCTTGTGAATCTGTGAAATGATGCCGATGTGGCTGGTGGAGGGATAAGGCTCCCAGTGGGTAAGGGTGCCTGGATTTGAAGCCTCTCAAATTTAGGCCAAATGAGCCTTGCATCACCTGCCTGGCTTACCTGAAGGACTGACTGTGGAGAGCAAATAAAATAACAGAAGTAAAAGCACAGGAAAAAACTAGAAATGCTATATAATGATAAGATGGCACGTGATTCCAAATCTAAACTCGTGATCTTGTCTACCTTGGCCCTCAGATCCCCTCCCCTAAACTGCTTCCCCTCAAATGTTTCCAGTCTCACTGCTGGGGCCACCACCCACCCAGCTGCTTAGGCCAGAACCCCAGGTGTCTTCTGTGACGTCTTGTTCCCCTTTATCCCCCATGTTCAATCAGCCATGGGCAGAGCCTACCCATTCTACGTCTAAAACGGCTCTTGCATCAGTCCACTCCTCTCCCTTCCAGCCTCCCAGCCTCTCTCCAGCCAAGGCAACCACCAGCTCTTGTCTGGACAGTTGCAACAGCCTCTTAACTGGTCCCTCTTCTTAACTGCCGATGGACCATTCTCCACACTGCAGCCAGCATGTTCTGCTCAAAGGTGCAATCTGATCCTATCACGCTCCTACTTAAAGCCCTTTAATGACATCCAATTCCATTAGAATAAAATCCAAAATTATTAATGTGCTCTCAAACTCCCTCTGGAATCCCCCTCCCCCTTTCCCCAGTCCTTACTGCATCCTTCTGCTCCCTCCGCTCCCGCCAGCCATAAAGGTATTCTCTTAGTTTCTAGAACACCACATGCTCTTTCCTGGCTCAGGGACTTCACAGATGTTCTCTGCTTGGAATTCTCTTCTCCCCTCAAGACACTCAAATTCCTCCTACTCATCACTCCCTCCGGGAAGCCTTCTTTAACCTTACAGATGAGGCAAAAATGTCCTCTGGCACTCTGTACCTTTTCTTCTTAGTTCTTCTAAGTACTTAGCACTAAACTATTTGATAATTATCTGTTTAATGTCTGTGTTGTCCACTGGATTATAAACTCCTAGAAAGGCAGGGACCCTGTTGGTTTGTCTATTGCTGTATCCCCAGAACCTAGCACAGCCCTGGTACACAGAGGTGCTCAATAGTAAGCATTTACGGGCAGACCACAACTCCTGCCACCACCCAGGGGCTGGGAGGGCTCATTTGGTCTTGCAAAGCTCAGTGTAGCCGCCAAATGTGTCCAGTGACCCGTATCAGACTGGGTGTCAAGATCGACTTCCCTCTCATCCTCTCGTCCGCCCCCTCCCCATCTTGGGTATAAATTCAAATAAAGAGCAGGCTGACTAGCAAAAGTTGTACAAATTACAACAGAATAGACGAGGAAGCGAGCTTACTTTTGGTGTCCAGACCGCCACGGTAGCCTGTCCAGCCCTTGAGAGTGACTGTGTCACCCAGGAGATTTAAAAATTTTTGAAAAGTGTCACTTCCGATTTCTGTAGGAAGAGGGAAAGTATGAAGAAAGCACGAGTATCAACAAGTCCTCATTTTCCAACTACGCACTGAAATCACTTGAAAATTAAGTAGGCTCTGCAGGTGTGTGCAGGAGGTAAACATAAGGGAGAAATCACATTTCCTTCTTCTTGGAGACCATGCAGCAGGGTCCACAATTCCCAGGAATCCAAGGAAAGGAAGACTACAGGATCAGGCTAAGCCACCTTACCACTGCCAGACTGGGATCCCAAGTGTTCAGTATTGTAAAATGAAAACATGATTACTGCTTTCATTAATAATAATCAGGTATTTCACATGAAAAGTGCTAAATAACAGGAAAATGGCACCCTTTTATAATTCTCCCAACCATAAAAATCATGGAGAAAAATCTCCCACTGCTACTGAGACTATGCAGACCAAATTCTCCAAACCCCATGTAGTCATCCAGTTAGGCTGCGTCTCTGGGGCCAGCGCCTGGTCCACAATGGGTGACCAATAAATATCTGTCATGTGAATAAATGAATGAAAGTGGGCAACAACTGCCCTACAAAATTCACCCTAAAATTTCGTAAAACTACTGGCTGTTTCTTTGTATTAAAGACTCCAACTCAACAGGCAAGTTCAGTTTGGATTGTTAAAATGGCAGCAAGGCAGAGCAGGGTTTCTGTTAGCAGAAAAGAGGAGGAGAACTCACCATTGCTGAACATCTCATCGTCAGTGAGCTGCCCGTCTTTGGCAAAAAGAACCCCAAACTTGAAATTCACAGAGCCCTTACAACAAGACAACAGAAGGTGTTGAATTTCACTTTATCATCAAAGCATGCGTCATCCGCTATGAGGCACGCTGTTCACGACGCAAGAAAAGCACAGTGACCAGAATGGATACTTGGGGGATTACTTCCTCCTCTCCGTCTCAATTTTGACCAATATTAACAACAATCATTCCTTTCTTTTTATAGATTTTCATAGCTTACAGATGAGACTACGCTTTTATATGAGTTAACTCATTTGTAATTTCATTACTAATGGTGTCTGCAGGATGCCAGCTCCATTCTGCAGCAAAACAGTGCTCAAAATAAATAGCCCACAGGAACCCACAGGACTGGCACCATCTTCTGATCAATCCCTCAGCAGCAGTCCAGACCCCAGAGCACAAAGGAGAGCTCAGTGTAATTCAAAGCTGAACACAACAATCTTAGGCTGATATCTTATGGACTCTTTTAAAAACAGAAATGGAAACTGTAGGCAATTTATTGTAAAAGCTCATTTCCCCCAATTCCTAAAGATATTTAAGCGCAAGAAGTCACAAAATAGACGTGGGGGGAAAAAAGGCAATTAAGAAGTAGCTAGTACAAATGTTCAATCTACCATCCTCAACACTGGATTAAAATCTGATCCTGTGTGAATGATAAATACCAAATTCAAGGGAACAGCCCACACACGGAAGGGAGAGAGAGGCATGGGATCAGGGAGCTCAGCTGCATTTTTAATATATTTTTTTCAAAGCTGGGTAGAGGGTTTGTAGGTCTTCATTATATTATTCTCTATACTTTTTTTGTATGCCTGAAGTATTTAATAATAAAAAAAGGTTTGAGGTTGGAAGAGAATCAACCTTTGACAGGCTGTTTGACCCAGATGGGGGAATTCTTGGTCAATTAAGGGGCAGACAAGGAACGAAGTGTTTAAAGCATTGGCCAATGGGTCAGAGGTGGAAGGGCAAGGCAGAATGCCAGGATTCAGGACAGCTGGATCTGGGAGAATTAAGACTCTGAAAACCCAAGAGTCTAAGGCTGTGCTTGTGCACATTTTTCTGACCCCAGCACAGCCACAAGATAGATGCACACCCATCACTAACAGAGGTTTTCTGTGTAGAGTGAGGAAGACAGAGGACACTCCCAAGCTGGTCCCTCCGCCTGGACCTCTTCCACGGCTCCTTCTATGGCTGGCTCTTTCCCATCATGCATGTCTCTGCTCACATGTCAATTTCTAGAGAGGTCTTTCCTGATCTCCCAGTATAAAGTCAGCCTCCCCACTGTTATTATCCATCATAGCATCTTGTTTATTGTCTTCAGAGTGCTATTTACACTCTGCAATTCTTTTGTTGAACTTGCCTATCTGTCTGTTTCTACCGTTAGAACATGAGTCCCATGAAAAAAGGATCATCTGTGTCTTGCTTTCCATTGACTCTCCAGTGCCCACCACAGTGCTGGGTACGTGGACAGGATTAATAAATATTCATGGCGTAAATGGTTGTGTGCATAATAAACGAGAAAAGAAACAAAACTGGTCAGATACAACTTATTTTTCATGAGTGGCTTTCAAATGATTAAATCTTCTTCCCAAACCAGTTTTTTGGTAAGTTTCTTAGAATTTTGTCAGGGATCTCTGTTCACTTTAGGGTTCTATAGTTTGTAACCTTTCTTTCTCCACTTTGGAAATGATGACAGCAATCACATATCTCCAAGACCCCAGCACCTCTTCTGTTCTTAGCGGCCCCTTGACAAGCACCTACAGTAGCTTGGGGTCTGACACGTGACCCTCTTGGAGTAATAGTGCAGAGACTAAAGCAGTGGTTCTCAAACTTAACCAGGCATCAGAATCACCTGGAAGGCTTCTTAAAGAATGCTGGGCTCCACTCCCAGACTTTCCAATTCAGTAGCTCCCGGTGAGAGCCCAAGAATTTGGATTTCTGACAAGTTCCCAAGGGATGCTGATGCTGCTGGTCCAGGGCCCCACGTTGAGAACCACTGGGCTAGAGAACAAACCAGCAGACTGTCAGGAGCCCAGGATCAGGTCCAGCTGAGCAGACAGCTAGCAAGCTAAGGGCAGAAGGACTGGGTCAATGAGCGGAGCGATGAGCCATGAACTAACAGCCTGTCAGAACCAGAAGGGACCCTGTGGTCCACTGAATCCACACTTTCATTTTACAGACAGGACAACTGAAGCCCAGGGAGGGCGAGACTTGCCCAAGGCTCCTACTAAGTGAATGTGAGGAGTGGAGCTGGCAGTCGGGTCTCCTGACTTTTGATCCAGCTCTCTTGCCAATACCATGGCATAGTCTCCTCAGGAGTGAAGCTGAGAGCCACAAGCAGAAATGGGGCTTGATCATTCCCCAAAGCTTTTAAAAGCTTTTATCTGTGACTGGCACCATGCTACCAGAACCCTTGCTGAGGACCCCTCTTGCTTCAGAAGGAGACTCCAGAAAGACTGGTGTTGCAAGGCCTTGTTAAGTACTTGAAATTACTTAGAGGACTCATTTAGGTAGTTTTGTTTCTTGGGCTTCCCAAATGACCCCAGTGACTAACACAGAGTTTTCACCCATCTCTAGAAATCAAGGTGTCACTGAACATAATGGATTACATTTTTGGAGGAGACAGTTTTTAGGAGGGCCGTTTTAGGAGGGGGTAGTTTAATTCGGGTAGTTTAACTTAACTATCACAGATCAGTTTCAACAAACCACTCAACCTAGCAGTGTCAGTCCTTCACGAGGCTGGTTGCTGCTGGCAGCACTGGATCCTGGGGGATGAGAGGGAGCTCTCAAGGTCCTAAGACCAGATCCGGGCCCCCAGAGGGAGGCGACTGGTGGAGCGAATCCATGCACACTGGTCTTCCTGGGACTTAAGTCCTGCTCAGACACTCACTAAAGAGATACGTCATATTTGTAATTCCTACCTGTATGGGACTTTTAATTTTTAAGTTCTAAGTTTTATGAGACAAAAGTCAGTATGATTATAAATCAATGTGTAGTTACTTTCTTGGGAATTAATAGTATGCTAGCAATTATATTTCTTTTGAGGAAAGTGAAGCAGGAGGAGAAACTAAAGTCTCTGTGATTCCAGAAGAATCTCTTGAAATCAAGAAACCATGGCCTGGGGCCAGCCCTGGTAGCCTACTGGTTAAGTTCAGCGTGCTCCGCTTTGGCAGCCTAGGGTCCCAGGTGCAGACCTACACCGCTCATCCATCAGTAGACATGCTGTGGCGGCAGCTCACATACAAAAGAGGAAGGTTGACAACAGATGTTAGCTCAGAGCAAATCTTCCTCAGCAAAAAAAGAAAAAGAAAGAAAGAAATGATGGCCTGATTCAAAACTGGACACCCCTGGTTCCTTGTTACTTTTGTTTAGGCAATGCCTCCATATGTCTATGTTTCATATATTCCTTCATATCTCTCATCCTCTCCATGTGTATTACAGCTTAGGAAGCCACGTTCTCCCCTGGGGGTGCCTCTTTATGCAGTAGACAAACAAAACATGCTTTCAGGACACCGACGACACTTAACCAAATAGCTAACCTTTCAGGAACATCACTAGTGTTGTCTATTAACTTTCTTCCTGCCCAATTTTTGCAGCTGACAGTTTATCACCATAATAGGGCAGAGTTGGGATAAATGCTCCTAGCTGAGGAGGTGGCAGATTAAACAGGAGCGCCTTGGCCACACAGCTCTCAGGGAAGCTCTGAAAGATGGTGACCGTTGCTCACACCTCCTCAAATACACTGTAACGAATGCTCTTGTGGCTTCGAGCAAATATCCCCTTAGTAAGGAAATAAAATTGAGAAATAAAGAGATCAGCCACTTATTTTTTCAAAATTTGGGAGATCCAAAAAAAGTATGAGAGGATGTACACCCAACAGCGAACAGGGGTTCTTCGAGGGAGGGTGGAAGTGGCAAAGCAGGGGGAGCTTTCACATTCTCCACGCATAAATTTCTGTATTTGTTTGTCCCAACAGGCACGTGCATGCATGCAGTGGGTGCTCAATAAATACCTGTGAATTAATGGAGTAATTTTGAGACATAAAAACTGTATATAGCATAATCCTAATTTTATATAAAATATACCAAACATATATACCCAAATGTGATACTATACCAATACTAGTTTTCTCTGTGATTGTAGGTGATATTTTCCTTTTATCTTTTGTGCATTTCTGTATTTTTCAAATGTTTGCCAGAAATGTGTATTACTTTTGTTTTTTGCCTTCTACAAATTACACATGGAGTTCATGAGTTCTTTAGCAACAAGCATGATTCATACACGGATAATACATAAATAAAGAAGTAGCTGTCTCCCTCTGCCTGCTCTCTGCCTCGTCCCACCCTACATTTCACTCTCCTCCCAAAGTCACCCTGCCAACAATCTGGGATGCATCCTTCCAGCCCACTTCTTTGCACTTACATCGATATGTTGAGAGTCAGCTGAGATGTCGTTGCCTCAGAGAATCCTTTCCTCTTTGTTCAATGTAGAAATTCTACTCCCTACCCATATCACCCACCTTGTTTTACTTCCTTCACAGCTCTTGGGGCGATCGATATTACCATGTCTATGTCTGTTTGTTTACTTGTTTAGTTTGTCTTATCCCACCAGATTGGACGTTCCATGAAGAAGGGACCTTGTCTTGTTCATCAATATATGCCCAATGCCTCAAACAGTACATGGTACACACATGGTAGGAGCTCAATAAATATTTGTTGAGTGAATGAATGAAGGAATGAATGAATATACATATAAATCTTTGTTTATAAAAACCACTTGGATTCTACTCTAAGTATTGCCTGCCCTGTGAATTGTTTTTTTTCAGTAAATACTATGTCGTGGAAATCTTTCTATGCCAGTAAATAAAGGTCTACCTTATTCTTTTTAATGGCATCATAGTATTTCATAATTCAGTCAGTCAATACCTAATTCACTTAACCAACAAATATTGACTCCGCGTCCTCTAGCTGCACTGTTCTAGGATCTGGGGATGTAGCAGTGAACAAAAATAAGTCCCTGCTCTTATGGTGCTTATAGTCTAGCGGGGGCAACGGATGACAAATAAATAAATGAAAATACACTCATTAAGAAGAAAAACAAAGAGCGTGGAAGGGCAGAGTGTGCTATTTTAGGCAGCGTGACGGGGGAAGGCCTCTCTGCGCAGGGATCCTAATCAAGCAAGGGTGTGGCCCATGGGGACATCTGCGGAAGAGCATCCGGGCAGGGGGAACAGTAGGCTCTTCCCGGGGAGGTGGAAGGATAAGGAAGTCAGTGTGGTTAGTGTGGAGGAGGAGCTGGAGAGGGAGAGAGCAGAGGGCCAGAGTGAAAGCAGGGAGAAGAGGTGAAGACACCGCACAGTCCAATGTGGTCCCCACAGATGATGGGGGTGGTGTCAATGGATGAGAGCGGTCATGGTAGAAGCGTTGAGAAATGTTTGAATTAGGGATGTATTCTGAAGAAGTGTCAACAGGATGTACTGATGGATTAAATATGGGGCGTGAGAGAAAGAGAGGTGTTAAGGATTTTCTGTGTCTGGCCTGAGCGACTGGAGGAATGATATTGCCATTTACTGAGAGGAACAGTAGGCACAAACGATAATTTATTTACTCAATGGCCTATTGATAATACTTGGGATATTTTGTTATATTCATTATGTACTTAGAAAACCCAATATATTTTTTTAAAGCGGGGCAACAATGGAAACATGAAACAGGGCAATCTGTAAATCGAGTGTGCTTATAAAGCCCAAACACCCTATCTTTAATTTAACGATCATTAAAACCTCATTACTCACCCTGATCGCGAGGTTACAATTTGAATATTTCCAAGCAGATTTAAGTAGCTTGATTGTTTTTATATCTTTATAGGTAGCTGCATAGAAAATTCTGAAATATACCTCGAAAAAATATGTCAGTAAAGTCTTTCAGTGATAAGAGACTCACACTGTGCAAATGCATGTGGAGGTTTGACGGAAAGAAAAGGTCGTGTTCACGGTGAAGGGAGAAGCACATTGATAAACATGGAGGCAGGGCAGAGCGGGAACAGACAGCTCAGAAAACCACTTACCTCTTGCTCTTCAAGAACCAGCAAGTCCTGTCAAATAAAGTTCGAAAAGTTATATCTATCATTAACGATGATCATTTTATTTTGATTTTCTGTGAAAGCCAAGCTTCAGTTTACCAAAGTTTACAACACTTTTTTTTCCCCTAGAAGTGCTTAAAAAATTCAAAGTTAGCTCTGCAGGTTTTTATAAAATACCTGGTCATTTAGGAAAGTCATGTTATACCACAGCTGTCTATAAACAAAGATGACGTATGGCAGTGGGAAGAAACGCATGGACACCTAGGTTTCTCTATCCATTTAAAGCTAGATTATCACACATGGCTGCTGGCAAGATTTTGGCTAAGAAAAATGTTATTACAGTACAGCAGCCAGAAACAGACGGATAACGTTTTTAAATAGCATCAGCCACCTTCCCGCTTGGTGGAAGATGCCTTCTTTACAATGCCAATGGCTTATTTCCTGTTGACTTTTTGGCTCCAATGATTTGTAAGCGCTCTTCCTCCTACACCTAAAGCCTGTTGCTCGAGCCTTCTTCAGGGAAACCCACAGAAGCCTGATGACAGCACTGAAACTCGTGCTAAGTTACACACTCACGTGCACACTCACACAGAGGACAGAGGGAAAGCTTGTGAATTGTTCCTTGTTAAGGGGAAAAAAGTCAAAACACAAACAGGGAAGGCGTGAAAGTGTCTTTTGTTTGGTAAAACACAGGCACGGAGGCATGACATAAATAGGCAGAAGGTTGCTCTAGTCTGTTCTCTTGTCTTCTTATTTTGTGGAAGAGAGACAGCAGATGGGGAAGACAGCAGACAAAGTCTGCTGAGGGAATCTGTTTGGCAGGAAGATGCAGAAAGAAGCGTCAGAGTGGGCGCTGTGGGTTTTGGCCCCCAGTGTCTGGGGATCACATCCAGGCTCCAAGAAGGACAGGATTAAGAATGAGAATCTGCACACGTGAAGTAATAAAGACACACTGGTACTGGCATATTTATAATTCAAACTTGTTTTAAAATTTGCTATAAAGAATCACTTTTGGACAGCCAAGAGCATACGATGGAGAAAGGAAAGTCTTCAATAAATGGTGTTGGGAAAACTGGAAGCCACGCGCAAAAGAATGAAAGGAGACCATTATCTTACACCATACATAAAAATTAACTCAAAATAGATTAAAGACTTGAATTTAAGACCTGAAACCATGAAAGTCCTAGAAGAAAATATAGGCAGTACACTCTTCGACATCGGTCTTAGCAGCATCTTTTCAAATACTATGTCTCACTAGGCAAGGGAAACAAAAGAAAAAATAAACAAATGGGACTACACCAAACTAAAAAGCTTCTGCACAGCAAAGGAAACCACCAACAAAACGAAAAGACAACCTACAACTGGGAGAAGATATTTACAAACCATATTATCTGATAAGGGGTTAATATCCAAAATATACAAAGAACTCATACATTTCAACAACAAAGAAACAAATAATCCAATTAGAAAATGTGCAAAAAATCTGAACCAACATTTTTCCAAAGAAGATATACAGACGGCCAACAGGCACATGAAAAGAAGTTCAACATCACAAATTATTAGGGAAATGCAAATCGAAACTACAGTGAGATATCACCTCACACCCGTCAGAATGGCTATAATTACCAAGACAAGAAACAAGAAGTGTTGGTGAGGATGGGGAGAAAAGGGAACCCTCATACACTGCTGGTGGGGGTGCAAACTGGTGCAGTCACCAGTTTCCATTTTAAGCCAATATGGAAAATATTATGCAGATTCCTAAAAAAAATTAAGAATCGAAGTACCATATGATCCAGCTATTCCACTTCTAGGTATTTATCCAAAGAACACGAAAACACGAATACATAAAGATATATGCACCCTTATGTTCACTGCAGCATTATTCACAATAGCCAAGACTTGGAAACAACCTAAGTTGCCCATCAAAGGATGCATGGATAAAGAAGATGTGGTATATGTACAAAATGGAATACTCTTAAGCTATAAAAAAGATGAAATCGTGCCATTTGTGACAACATGGATGGACCTTGAGGGTATTATGCTAAGTGAAATAAGTCAGAGGGAGAAAGTCAAATACCATATGATCTCACTCATAAGTAGAAGATAAAAACAACAACAAACACCTAAATACAGAGATTAGACTGGTGGTTACCAGAGGGGCAAGAGAGAGGGAGGAGGACGACGAAAGGAGTGACAGGGCATGTGCATATGGTGATGGATGGTAATTTGACTTTGGGTGGTGAACATGATGCGGTCTACAGAGAGATACAAAAATAACGATGTATACCTGAAATTTATAAACCAATGTTACCCCAATAAAAAGAAAGAAAGAAAGAAAGAAAGAATTACTTTTAAGCATAGCATGGCTGAAAGTTTAACTTACACTCATTTTTGCCTTAGTTCCTTCTGGGGTTGAGTTAGGGTACAAACGCTATTTTAAAAATTAAATTAAAACCAAAGATATGGGGAATTCACAGGTACACATATTCGGGGTAAGCTGAGGGCCATGACTTCATTTTAAAGGCTAACTGTATTTTAAAGGTATGTGAGCAAAGGTACGCTCCCATGTATCCTCCTAACGTGTCTGAGTTATTTCCCTAAAAAGCAGATTTAAGCATGATGCTCCTCTGCTTAGAGACTACTGGCTCCCTGCCACCTCCTGGATAGAATCCCAGCCTGCCTCTCCAGCTCGTCCTGGTCACCCGGCCCTGGCATTCCCCTCTCCTGGAAGCTCAGCTTTGACACAGAACTGGCACGCGACTAGTGACGGCTGCGTTTAGCAGTTTCAAGGGGAGAATTTCAAAGCTAAATTGATTGAAAGTGCAAGACAAAACTTTGGTTGACATTTTTCTGATGGATCATTCCCTAGATTATGACTCGAAACTTTTTTTCTTCCAGAGCAGACCGTTTCCCCTTAAGAGCAAGTCCTAAGAAAACAGGATGGCTTTCTGGGCACCTTCTATCCTCCACAGTACCCAGCACAGTGTTCTACATGAGTTAGAGCTCAATAAGCACAGTTTGTATTTTATTAATTTAAAAAACCCCAAACCTTACATTCCACACAATTCTACATCACTAACTTTTAAGGCAATAAGATCCTTCTGAACATGCACCCTTTAGGTTCTGGGATCGAGGACCACATAGTCCAGCGGGCCTCAGTGCGCCTATACCTCAGAATCACCCACAGAACTTCTGAAAAATACAGATTGCTAGCCTCTACCTTAGACCCAGCATATGCGGGTCTCGGGTATGAGGGTCTCCACGAGGACATTCCCGAAGGCCCACAGGTGATTCTAGTTGGTACCCTCTGCTAAGAATCCCTGAGGACCCGTCAGTTCTAATCAACCACTGTGATCAAACTTACACGATTACGAAGCATACAATTCTCTGTTACCTTTTGTATCTCAGGATGAAAAATTTCCCTGGGGCCTTTCTCAAATTTGTCCAGATTCATGGCACTGAAATAGAATGGACAAAATGAGCCACAGTGTGGTAGAAACTTAAACAATGTGGAACAAGTGTACGTTCTTCAGAGAGGCTAAATAATATCTCCTAGAAAATCATCGCTGGATTCCCTGAAGGGCCTGGCCCACAGGAAATACAAACCACCAAGGCATGATCAATGAATGACTATACGAGAGTAACCGAACACCACGCTGTATCCCTCTCACCTCACTATCCCCTAATGACACAGAGAATAAGAGAGGAAGGGAGGAATCCAGAGCATCTGTTTCAGGCAACCTTGACTAACCTTCATGATTTCTATTTTTATTTACTAAAAAAGTGATTCATTGACATTTACAAAGCAATCAGTGACAAAATGAAATGTAAGTAAGATCACCTGACTTTCTTTCTTTGGCAATTCCTCTGCCACTTAGGGCAAAAGGCCGTCCTTAACAAGATTGTTCTTTTATGTTTTACTTTGGACAACCAGCGTTAACGTCCTTGAGCCTAAGCTCCTCTAGAGGTAAAACAAGGAAATGAAACTAGATGATCTCTAAGGCCCCTTTCAGTAAAGATTCTCATATTTGTAAGTGAAAGAGAAAAATAATAGGTAATATTTACAGAGCACTTACCAAATGCCAGGCACTCTGTTAAAGGCTTTACATCGATTAGCTCATTTAGTCTCTAGGAGGCAAGTACTATTTCATCCCCTCTTTAAAGATTAGGAAATAGAGGCTCAGAGGTTAAAGAATGAGTCCAGGATAACAAAGCTGTTAGGCAGGAGAGCCAAGATTTGACCTCAGGCTCATCTGACTCCATTGTTTTTATATTTTAATTTCCTTTTAAGTTTTCAAGTTCACAGTTGTAACAAATGAAAATAAAATCTTTTCTTCTTTTGGCAGCAACTGTAGAAGTTTTAATCTTCCATATCTTTAAAAACATCTTCTTGCTGAAACTTGCTCTGGCTATGAGTAGTGAGCTGAAAAATGAAGGCCCTATTCATTTAACTAAATGAAATTATAACTAAATGAAATCCTTGAGCTTTAAATATAAAGAAGAAAGGAGCTGGAGTAACTTCTTTAGGAAAAGAAAAAGATTTGCAGAAATCTTAAGCCAGTGTAATTCGAAGTATTACTCTCAAAGCAAGTTAAGAGGGGCCCGGCCCCGTGGCCGAGTGGTTAAATTCGTGCGTTGTGCTTCGGCAGCCCAGGGTTTTGCCAGTTCGGATGCTGGGCGTGGACATAGCACTGCTCATCAAGGCACGCTGAGGCGGCATCCCACATGCCACAACTAGAAGGACCCACAACTATGTACTGGGGGACTTTGGGAGAAAAAGGAATAATAAAATCTAAAAAAAAAGCAAGTTAAGATTTAGCAGCAGCAAGATATTTCTGTGCTCAACAAAAATGTTAAGCTCTTGGGCCGGCCCAGTGGCGCAGCTGTTAAGTGCACATGCTCCGCTTCGGCGGCTGCCGGTTCAAATCCAGGGTGCGGACATGGCACCACTTGGCAAGCCATGCTGTGGCAGGCGTCCCACATATAAAGTAGAGAAAGATGGGCACGGATGTTAGCTCAGGGCCAGGTTTCCTCAGCAAACAAGAGGAGGACTGGCAGTAGTTAGCTCAGGGCTGATCTTCCTCCAAATAAAACCCCCAAAAAACAAAAAAAAATTAAGCTATTCACTGATGCTTTCTGAACTTGGCCTTCAGACTGCTCAGAAGAAAATTAGAAGGCCTAGAGCAGAGAGGGGGAGGTCTACAATTGAAAGACCAAATCGAGCTTGAAAGTGAGATATAATAGTTTCTACTTCTTAGTCTCAGCACCCTGATGCAATCGCTAGCAGTCAGGCTTGTCACTCTAAGAGACATCTTGGCAAGTATGAGTTGTGGCTGGGAACAATGAAAACACCATCTCCTACCACCACCTGGTTACAGATGACCAGAGAGGAAACCACGGGGCACTGGAGGGAGCCGTCACAGTCACACGATATGGCAGTCGTGGTGAATAGCCTGAGCCCTGGAGTTGCATGACCCTAGGTTTGGCTCCTGCCTCTCCGGTTTACCAGCTGTGAGACCTCTGTCAAATCCTTTCACTTCTCTGAGGCTCCGATTCCTCATACGTGGAGTGGAGGTAATTATAGAGCTACTTTGTAGAGCTGGTTTAAAGATTTATTAGGAGAATGCTTGTAAAGCATTTAGCTCTGCCTGACAAACAGAAGTTACTATTACTATGACGTAACGTCTCAGCTGGTGACAAAGTGACAGGCCCTACCTGAGTGGTGACATTCCCTAGGGGAGGCTGCCACCCAATACGGGAGAGGGGAGATATGAGAGGGAGGTGGCAAGGTCGGGGCAGGAGAGGCAGCTGACTGTGGAGCAGCTAGATGTCCCATTCACTGAAATTTCTGTTTGTGACAAATAAGCACATTCTTCTCTGAGAAGCATTTGCTGACATATGAGTTTCTATTTCAAAGCAGAAAAATATTTCTTGATTTTCTTTACAAAACCAAAGTATCTGCACGCGTGGAAGAAAAAAGAAGCAGGCAACTCATGCAGTATGCTTAACAGTGATGCTCAGGATCAGCAGGACCTCGACTCAGGCCTCAGTCCCACCACACACTGTGTGATCTTGGCCTTCTCTCCCTGAGCCTCCGTTTCCTCATCTATAAAACAGGGGTGAGAACAGTACCTGCCCTATAGGGTTGCCATGGAGATCACATGAGGTGATGCATGTCGAGTGCTTAGCAAAATGTCTGGTACACAGCCAAGGCTCAAAAAGTGGAAAGCTAACAGGAGACTGACCATACGAGAAAAAACCTTGATAAAGGCTCCTGGCGTTGGGTTTCTATTCATTATACTCACCTTAAGATGGACTTCACCGAAAGCGTTTTTGTGGGACTGTAAGGAAGGCATATTTTCTGGGTACCCTGGAAAGTCAAAACACCAAATCAGTGAGAAGTTTGGCAATTTCCATCTCTGAAACAGCCTTACTTGGCTATTTAAAAGAAACCCACGCCCAGTCTTTCATCTTTCTTCAAGGGGCATGTATATGAATAAACACATTCTATGTTGGAAAAAATCTTGCTTGCTTATGACAGCATCTTCCACCATCCTCCCAACCCCGACATTCATGGCTTTCCGCAATACTCTTCAATATTCGGGCTGACAGGTCCTCAGTGTCTTAGGTGTGGCGGTGAGTGGATGAGCCATCTGAGCCAGAGGAGAAGGGGTTTGGTCTCTGAGCCAAGGGTCAGATCAACCTCAAAGATCATAATAGGGAGAAAACAGTTTCCACATGCTCAATGGGACCCAAAAGCGTTATCTCCAAGTCAAAGACTTTTTGAACTAGAAATCACCTGAATCTTTTAGAGAAGTTTCCATAATGTGTACTTTCGTATTTATCTGTATTTACTTATTTACAGTCTGCTTCCTCCTCTCTAAATGAGTACCCACGGTGACTAACTCATAGACAGTACTCACTAAGTCTTTACTGAATGAAAGAGAATGAGTGAAGGGTCACCTGAATGGTTCAGTCCCACGTCCAACCCACCCGGAACGGATGAGCGCTAGTCTCTATAATCTCCAGAAAAGAGAGGACACGGATTTATAATCCACAAAGGATTTACACCACACGGTTAGCAAAAGGGGTGATGACTTAGTCCACATTGAAAACTTTCTTCCTAACTTTGTCTAACAATAAAATTGGCAGCACAGATAGCTAGAAAAGGTAAGGACATTTCTTGCAGGAAATGGACAAGGAACTAAATGTGACTTTCCTCATGTTTTGGGGACACATCTGCCAACTCATCTGTCAAAGACCTGAACAACAGCATGGAGTGGAGTTCCCCAACCTTTTCGAGCCCACAGTCTCTTTCGCTAAGCTACACTTTCACACCCACGCCGCTGGAGACCCCGGGAATCTCAGTCCCACCCCAGGCTGGGCAGGAGCATGTCTTCCCAGCTAAGCATCAGAAGTTGCACTTACAGGTTTTCTCCTAGCCAAGGAAATTAGCTTGAGCTTTTTATTGTTTGTAGTTTGCGTTACAGAGATTTAAGAAATTTCCCAAATATAGAGAAATACTACGATAGGAATATGCATTTTCAAATTCCACAGAAGCCACCCATTGAAACCTGAGTTATTCCTGTGGCCTTGCCTTTTTACCAGACCCAGCCTCCCTCCCACCGTGGGTGGGATGTCACCTGTGTGGGATGCCAACCTGTCTGCAAGAGGGTCTTGAATCGGACCTTCTTGCTCAACCCCTACCTTGTCAACCATGTCTTCTCACTAAACAACCCAAAGGCTGTTTTAAAGAGAAGCCAAGGCAGTTTGAGGGGGAATGTACGGACTAGGAGAGAGGATCCAGCCCCTGCCTGGGTGGTGGGAACATCTTCATGAGCTGCCCACGTGGATGTGAAGCCCAGGGCTCGTGGGATTGTCAACTGGTATTTTTCTTCTCCACAAACGGGTAAAGCTCTTCCTCCCCATCTTCTCCCTGTTGTGGCTTTCCAGAGTAGCTCTCCAAGAAAAAACACCTCTGGTTCTATGTTTTCCAGAGAAATCAACAAATGCATAGGGAGAGTCAAGTACACGGCCACATCAGGCAGCACTAAGTGAGCACAGCAAGGACACAGAAGTACACGTTGAACGTTACCCCATTCATGCAGCCGTGGTGTGTGTGTGTGTGTGTGTGTGTGTGTGTGTGTGTGTGTGTGTTTATGAACAGACGTCTAGAAGGATGTTGAGGATGTTGCAGTAACCTCTCTGAGTAGCTAGATTTTGATCCCTGCCCTTTTCGCTTGCTATATTGTCTGGATGGCATTTCTACAAGTACAAATAATTTTTTTTTAACAAAAGCCTTTTCTTTCTGTTTAGAAGAAACACAGCAGAGATAATCAAGACTGTTTAAAGCAGGGTTTATACATTTAGCCATTTTTCTAACTTTTATAACAGAATGCGAGCACACGACGAGGTGAGGGAGGGCTGAGCCATCCACTTCTTTGCATCTCCCACAGCCTCCAGCACTAGTTTTGGGACAAAGGGGGCTTCATTGGTGACCCCTTATGCCAGTGTTCTGCTTTGATTTTTTCAGTCCCTCACTTTCCTCAGCACTCCCCCTACAGCTGGTGGCCAGCACTTGCCCCGCACTGGCACACAATTTAGGGCTTAGATAAGGGGTCTGGATTATGGCACCGGCCCATCTCAACAGAAGGGGACTAATACTCAGTATGCCCCACCCCATGCTGCCTCCATGGGGGTCCTGGGGTCTAAATCCCACCTCTCTGACGTCTCTAGGACCAGCGAAGAGTAAGCTCTCCCACGTTCCTCCTTCGTCTTACATTTGCTGTTCCTTCCGTCTGGAATCCTCCCCCCGCCCCTTCCCCTACTGTTTTCGTGGCTGGTTCCCTTTCATCCTGCAGGTCTCTTTAAACGTCATCTCCTCAGAAAGCTTTCCCTGAACTGTCTTATCTAAAGCAGGTCTCCTGTATCGTTCTCTATCTTTGTTTCCTTCAGAGCGGTTATCACAATTTATAATGTAATAGAGACAATGTCTTGGGAAACTAAAATAAGCAAAATTTCGCCCCTGCATTTGCCCCACTCCTCCTCCCCCAGTACCTGGCCACTGTCCCAGCTGAGGAGGTGGAGAGACTGTTATTTGACATAGAGGAAGAAGATGTGACATTCAGAAAATCCACTGCAGAGAGACAGCAGGAGTGAGAAACCTCCCCTTTCCTGCCCTGGTGGAAGGAAGAGAGAAGGAAGAGAGGGACGCCATGGGGAGATGCCGGCGCCCTTGATTCCCCCATTCGGAAGGCAGGCCTTGAAGGAGGCGGGGGGTGGCTGCAAAGATACCAAGGTAAGACCTGGAGGCACCTAGGGACATTCGGACTAGAGGCCCACTTCCCAGGCACGGTCTTCCACAGAAATCTTGAAATCCAGTTAGAACCTGTTTGAACACGGTGAGGGGCAGAAACTCAGTGGCTTCAAGAGTGGACGGTCAGCAAGATCAGAGACACGAGCCTGAGGCATTGCTCCTGCCTCCTCCCATGTGACTGTGGCTCGCAGTGGACATGCCTGTGAGAGGGTGCAGAGCTTCTGAGAGGCTCGGCAGCCAGCAGAGACCTGGGATCAGGTCAAAGAGTTCACAATACACAGCGACTTCACAACAAGGGGCAAATGGCTGGGACTACGGATTGCAGGGGCAGGTGCATTCCAATGACCCAAAAAAAGCCAGAGGGGACCAGTTACATCTCAGTGGTTGCTAGTTCAGAGGCTAGATCAGCCATTCCACAACAGAAACCAGAAAGAACCCAGAGGGCCCCATGTGGATCCGAGGTCCTCTTCTCCTGCCACCATGAGTCTCACAAACCCTGAGGTCTCCATGCATCCGAATATCACCTTCCAGAGGAGCAGGGGGAGGGGAAAGAAATCGGAAAGACTGATTATTTGTCCAAAAGAGGCAGAGTCATCCACAGAGAATAGTGAAACCAGAAGAGATTGGAATACTGTAATTAGCAAGCATGAAACAAATAAGTAAAAACAAAGAAGCACCAGTCAACAGCCTTCCTGGTGCAGAAGATAAGAGGCCCTGGACGAGGGCACTAGGACTCTCACTAGGTGAATACTGAGAAAAGACTACCACGCACGCCCTTGAGAAAAGCTGGCACACAGCTCTCCAACGTTATCTTCGAAAACTGATGCATAAACTTTGCTTCAAGAACAGCTATGCTGATGGCAAGACTGGCCCCAATGGCAGGGGCATAGGGAGAGGGGAAAGTGCCAAAACTTTTCTGCAGGAAATGATTCACAGGTAAGATCTAACTCTATTTAACATGAGATTTTTACCTTAAACCTGCTTAAAAAAAAGAAAAATTTCAGAAACGTTAACATGGAAGTTTATATAAACAGAGGCAGCATAGCACCCAGGTTAAACTGGACTTTGGCGTCATTCATCAATTCATTCAACAAATATTTGTCCAGCTCCTTCTATGGGCCAGGCACTAGGCTTGGTGGTGGGGACTCTGAGAACAAAGCAGTGATGTCCCCTACTTTCCTGGAGCTCACAACCCAGGGAGAGAGACAGCATGAGTCAAGGAATTACATATAGAACTAATTATGTACAGTGGCGACAGCTCTGCATGTAGTCCTGGGTTCTGCCTGGTCTGCCGCTGGGCGGCATGTGGCCTTAGTCACGCCATTTAGCCTCCCTAAACTGCGGCAACACCTATGAGATCACGCATTTGGAGGACTCAGCATAGTATTTGGCATATGGTAAGTGCTCGAGAAATGTCAGATTTTATTGTTATCACTATTACTGTTTTTTTTTTAAAGATTTTTAAAAAAATTTTTTTCCCTTTTCTCCCCAAAGCCCCCTGGTACATAGTTGTATATTCTTTGTTGTGGGTCCTTCTAGTTGTGGCATGTGGGACGCCGCCTCAGCGTGGTTTGATGAGCAGTGCCATGTCCGCGCCCAGGATTCGAACCAACGAAACACTGGGCCGCCTGCAGTGGAGCGCGCAAACTTAACCACTCGGCCAGGGGGCCAGCCCCTCACTATTACTATTTTTAATCATCACAAAAAGTTCCTAACCACAGTTTACTCTAGTGGTTCCTGGAAATTCTTTCTGGGCTTTTTGAAGTTGCTACTTTATTGCTATATATGCATGTAAATGTGTGTCTATATATAAAAAATTACTGTTTTTGAAAGTTTCTGTATTATTTCTTTTCCAAAAAGACCTAAATAGCAATTTTTGATATGCTATGTAGCTTAGATACAAATCAGCATGCAATTATTTAACTATTAGATTTCAACAAACATACCCACAAGCGAGACCACCGACTAACAGGACTAATATTTTTAAGTGTAGTTTGTTTCATGGCTTCTTAATTAGACACTGTCCTCACCAATTTAAGAGTAAATGTTTTATCCGTTAAGCATCTAAGCAGTTTCAGATTTGATGACTGGGGACACCAGCTAAATGTGGATTTTCAAACAAGACCTCACTTAATGTGGTCTCTGTAGTCCTCATCACCCTGTGAGCCACAGCCCACAACTTTCCCCATTTTACAAAGAAGAAAATGGAAGCTCAGAGGGCATAAGAAATATTCTCAAATTCACACAAGTGAGTTTGTTACTGAGGTAATTTGACCCTACTTTGCTTAACTCCAAACCCTTTGCTCTTTCCAGCATCTATACTGTCTCTGAAAAAAATTCTGAGAAGCCAAAACAAAAACCAAGAGAAGAAAATAATGAGAAAAGGCAAAAGATGAAAGAGGTCAAATTTAAGAATCGCTGGAGAAAGAATTCAGAAAACAGGAAAAGCAGCAACAATAGTGAATAAGACATAAGCAAAGTTTCCTGAGCCAAAGACAGACCCGCACCCCTGGCTGAAGGGCCTCGTGTTCGGCTCACCATCCGCACCTGAGCGTTCAAGGCCCATCGTGGGCAGGGGCCTTGCTGAGTCTAGAGTTGTTTTCCTACTTGTGAAATTGAGGAAATGGGCTAAGTCTCAAACAAGTTCTAGACGCACAACTGATTTAGTGGTTGACTGAGTGACTCATGGAAACAGGAGCACCCCGTGGGCTGTGCCCATGTGATAACACAGTCTTCCACTAAATTTTGTTTCTTTTAGTTGAAGGTGAGCCAGTTCATCACTTTCAGTATTAGCAACAGCTCAGGTGAGTACTCCGTAAAATACAGTTCTGTATTCCCACAGGCGAGAGACAGAGGGAAATGGACATGTCTAATTAGTGCGAATTAGAATATGGGAAAAGTTGTTGTTAAACTCAGAGTTTGACGGTCCCACCTGTGAAGAGTATAATCTTGAGTATCCAAACTCAAAGAATCTCGTAGCAAAAAGACTTAGCTGAGCCCCTCCGACAGTGACACTCATTAAATTCTGGAGTGGTGAGGAAAGTCTAGCTACAAGCCAGTTACTTACTGTTTTTCTCCAAAGAATGGCACGGTACTGGGGGACACGCTGATTGTTTTGGTCAGAAAGGGTCACGGACAAGAAGAAGGGGCTCTTCTCTGCATCATTCCCAATGTAATTCTGATGGACTGGAAAAGAAGCAGGTTTAGAACAGTGAGAATGCAACTGGTACTTCCAGGCTCTGGTAGCAGGGGACACTTCAGGTGGTATCCAGCCCTTCCCCCATGATCAGGGCACAATAATCCCAAACCCAGCTCGGGACAGAACCTGACCACTCTACACTAACCATGCAGTCCCATTGCTCTTGCCGGCGACTGGGTCAGGAATAAACACGTGACCCCATCCTGGCCAATAAGACAGGAGGAGGAATGTGTCAAGGGGTTTCTGGAAGGCTTCCTCACTCCTGAAGATGACCTTCTTCTTCCTCAGGACATGGTGGTGTCTGGAAGTGCTGCAACCATCTTGTGACCCCAAGGAGGGCCAGCCTTGATGACATCACTGAGCCTCTGAACCCACCAACCCCAGAGCCTGCCCTACCTCTGCGTTTCTTGTTATGTCCCTTACCGTTTAAGCCAGTTGAGGAAGCTGAACACATCCAAACTCACGGTACCATCTTTCTCCAAAGTCATCAAAACTCTGGGCACTATGTTTTCCGGCATTTGGGAAAATGACAACTTTCCCACTGATTTCTTTCTTTATAAAGAAAAATCCCTTGCCAAATAAATAAACTTCTTAGAATAATACAGTATCCAATTTTTTAAAAAACATCATTTGCGTCTGGTCAGTCTCATTTTATAGCTCAAACATCACATCTGCTACAAACGAATGCTTTAGCCTGATAAGCAATTTATCTAAGTCACTTCTAATCCAACAATAGTGATTATTCTTTCACTCCCAGTATCTCCTGTCGTTAACCACACTCCTGTTTTCCGTCTTTCCGTAGTTCACTCTAACTGTGCATCATTACTAATGAGAGAGCTCTGGGTGTGTGCCAGGCATCTGGCTTCGTGTTTTTCCTGCATATCTCATTGAAACTTCTGTTCAAATCTACTAGATAGGAACTCATAATACCCCCACTTTACAGATAAGGACATTAAATCTCAGAGAAGTGGAGAGTAACTGGTGTAAGGTCCTATGGTCAACAATGGCAGAACCAGGGTTCAAACCCTTTCTACAGTCTCCATGAGGGCAGGGATCGTGGCTGCCTTTGCCACTGCATGTTGCCTGGCACGTGCTAGGTGATAAATACTTGTCACTGATGAATGAATGACACCAGAGCCTAGAGGATAATGCCTCTCTAGTTCTCTATTGGCCCTGGAGCTCAGGGAACCATTCCTCCCCCTCACTGCCGTGAACGTATTTTTCAAATCCCACTACAGACAGGTCACTTGCTTGTTACGTCTAGAGTTGTTTTCCACCCTGCAAATGCTTCTCATCTCTCAAATCGCTCATGCGGATGATCTAACTCCCTTTAACTCTCCAGGGACAAAATGAACTGTCAAAAAATATCTAAATAAAAAATTAAATAATTAAAAAATAAATTTAAAATGATGAGAAAAACTCCTAAGGCTGATTCGGAATTGAATCTTCAAATCTACACAGCTTGCTACGGACTTTGAAGTGAAACGCCCTGACGTTAGTGTCCCTGAATTGGGTAGTTTCACACCTATAGGGTACCAGAAATTACACCAACACTAGTTTTCATTTTCGATATCCTTTCTTCCCAAGCACCGTAATGGCATAATTACCTTGTCCTAAGAAATACTTGAAATACCATCTGGTGTGGTATTCCGGGTTCTCTAAGTGCACATCTGTTCTTCGCCAAGTGCCTGGCAAGGCGGTTGCATTCTGTAACGGAATAAAGTTGTGCCATTAAAAGGCTTATTTAGAAAGTAAACAAGAAGCTGGTAGTGAACCAGAGGCCAAAGAACCAGAAAAGGCACTGTTAAAAGCGTACCAACAGGGCTGTAGCCACACGTGCTCATTAGCAGGGGACGCCCAGTCTAAATCCACATCACGGAAGCATTCTGGAGGTCCTTGGGGTGTAAGAGAAAGGACCGCGTGAACCAGTGAGTTCAGCCATTTCTAACTTGAGAATGACTTGAGTTTAAAGTTTCTCTTCTTTCTTGTCCGAAGTTTCCACAACATTTGGGAGTGGGTGCCCCCTAGAGGCACACCTTTCTGTCTGTTACCCCTGAAACAGGCACATTTCACCTGGAATACATGTCTGCAGCATCTTAATCGAGTTCATATCTTTTAAAGAACTTTTTAAATGTGTCATAAAAATAACTCAATGCAGAAAATACAGATAAACATAACGAATCATCGGAATCCTTTAACCAAAGATAATCATTATTAATGATTTGGTATTGTTTCCTTTAATTTTTTTCCTATAGGTACACACACATGTAGTTTTCTTACAAAAATGGAATTACACTGAATACACAGTTTGAAACTCCACTGACATCTACATTGTGCCATGTGTATAAGACAGACTCCTGGAATACGCTTTTCTGATTCTGACATGCCTCTAGTGATTTACTGGATGCTTGTGGTCAGTTTCTTAACCCTGTAGAAGCTTCCTTCGTCTGAGTCTACAAAGAGGCTTTTCTCAGGAATGAATATTGAATTTTACTGAAAGCTTTCTTTTGGCAACTGTTGAGAGAATAGGTTTAATGGGGGAAAATCATACAAATGTAACGATTATACTAATAGCTCTTCTGACGCTGAACGGCTCTCAGATTTCTGGAATACACCCTACTAGGTCATGGTATGGTATTCTTTTCATATACTGCTAGATTTTAAAAAATGATTCATGCATCATATTTGTTAGTGAGATGGATCTATAGGTTTCTTTTCTGTGTGAATTTCCATCATATATCAGGGGTATATTACCTTATAAAGTGCCTTAGGATGCTTTCTGTCTTTCTCATTGCTCTGGAAATACTGACATTCATTGAGAGCTCTAAGTGCCAGGAAGTAGGCCAAGCGCTTTATATGCGTTATCTCCAGGGTATCTCCACCAGCTTCACAGACAGATTCAATTTTATCCCCCTACTTTCAGGTGAGGAAACTGAGGCTTAGAGAGATTAAATATGTTGCCTAAGGTTGCAGAGATAATGAGCAGTGGAGCTGAAATGAAATCAGCTCCAATTGCAGAGGCTCTTTCTTTTTTAAAATCGTAACCATTACATCATCTTCTGTGTCCTTTTTTATGTTCTGCTTTTTTAATCTATCAAGGAGTAAAAAAGTGGGTTAAATTTTCTTAGTATTTTTGTGCCTTTATTGGATTTTCTTGAATTTTTAAAATTCAGCTATATATATGTATATACATATATACAAGTTTTATTTAGAAATAATTTTAAACTTACATAAAAGATGCAAGAACAAGAAAAGTGCAAAGAGCATCTGTATACTCTTTACCAGATTCACCTACTTACCTCATTTGCTCATGTGTTCACACTTTTCTCTCTCTCTCTGTCTATGCACACAATTTTTTCTGAACTATTTAAGACTAAGATGCATAAATAATAGCCCTTTATCCTTAAGTACTTCAGTGTGTATTTCCCAAGAATAGGGATGTTTTCTTACACAACCACAATATAGCCTTATCAACTTTCGTAAATTTAACATCGATACAATACTTTCATCTGTATTCCAATTTTCATCCATATTCCAATGACTCAACAATGTCATTTAAAGCATGTCCCCCTGCAGTACAGGATCATTTAGTTGTCATGTCTCTTTGGCTTCCCTTATCTGGAACATCTCCACAGACTGGCTCTGTCTTTATGACTGACATTTTTGAGGAATGCAGCACACACCGCTCTCCTCTTTTTAAATAAAGCACTCCTCATTTGGTTTGTCCGATGTTTTCCATGATTAGATTCAGGTCACGTGTACCTGGATGCTACAGTTCAGAATACATCAGGGATGCCTGTCCTTCTCAGCTTATCCTATTTTAAGATATCCATCTATTCCTCATTGGTGACGTTAATATTGATGACCTAGTCAAGCTGCTGCCTCTTAGTTTTGACCTTTGGGTGTGACCCAAGAAAGCATATAATTGGGTTTTGTTTCTTGCAGAATTTCTGAACGATTCATTATCAACAGCTGTTCATTTTATGACCTTAAACCACTGGCAGTGGGTACTCCTGGTCCAGAGCTCTTTCTACTACGCATCGGGTGGTATGCAGCTATGGTATGACCCTGGCATCCACCAGCCGGCCTCAGGCATCAGCTGACCCCACATGGGGGCATCTGGCCTTGGGCAGTCAGACTCCACAGTGGTGGGTGTCATGACCCCAAGGTCCTGGATCCTGGAAAACATCCACAGAGCCTGGCGAGGAGACCCTGAAGTCACCATGACATTTAAGCCTCTGGAGCCCCCAAGACTTCCCTGGCACAGAGAGGTTTCTTTCAGGTAGCTGTGCCACATCTTAGCTCAGTGCTTCTAGGTTTGTTAAGACGTGCACTCTTGGGCCCGTCCTAGACCTCTTCCTCAGGATTTCTGTGGGTAGAGCCTTAGAATCTGCGTCTTAACAAGCATCCCAGGTGATTCCGATGAACACTGAACTTTGAGAATCAATGCTCTATACCAGGGGTTCTAAAAGAATCCAGGATGAGCATGAACTTGAATGGGGGAGAAAACAACTTTATTTTTCCTAACTTCTAACTAATATTTAGTATTTCACTCAGTTATGAATGTACGCAAACAACTACAGTAGAATGAACAGCCGTGGTAACTTTGTCACCAAAAAAAAAAAAAAATCACATTTTCAGAACTCTATACAGTGATCGCAGATATCTCAAAATACTATTCACATTCTTCATCATTCAAAATTATAATAATTAGGGGACCTGTTGCTGGATTTATTATTTAATGTATTAATAAAAAAGCATGCATATTATGGTATCACAAATTAGGTTTAAAGAATCATTTTGATAACTATTTCAATACAACTGTTTTCCTTAGTAATCCTATATATTTTGTTTTACTCATTAAAAACATTATGTTGAGAAGGGTCCTACAGGTTTCACAGACTGCCAAGGGGGATCAGAGGCATAGAAAATGACCCCCATACTCTAGCCCTTCGGAAGCTCTTGAGTCTGCTGTCTCCCCTCCCAGAAGTCTGCATGCTGCCAACTGCAGCATGGAAAAACACGGAGAAGGGGCAGAGGCAGCACAGCGACGCAGAGTGAGATGGCACTCTGGTCGTGGCATGCCCCCACCTCTACTGAGTACACACTGTCAGTTATGAGTTCTTTTTTTAATGATCAAAAAGTTACCCACTTAACTTTCATCTTCACTGAATAGTTAACTAAGATGGGGGGAAAGCTCAACACCAAGAGAGTTGTGAGTCTCACAGAGCAAGACACTTCCTGTCTCTTGTTAAAAGCACATACGACGAGGTGTCAAGACAAGAATACACACAGGAACTGACAAAAGAAAGGGAGACGAAGCAGAACACGTCCGCGCTGCCCAGGGCCCCCGAAGAACGACTCGGCAAACGAGTTCCAGTTTCTGATGATATGTGGCAGAAGTGGACAGTAAAGGGCCAAATCTTAAGTGTACAGTGAAATGATTTTCAAATACGTACACACCCTTGTAACCACTGGATCAAGACAGCACCCTAGAAGGCTCCTTCATGCACTTTCCCAGTCAATACTCAACCACACTCTGAAAGGTAACCACTGTTCTGCCCCCATCACCATTGATGAGTTTTACCTGCTTTTGAACTTTATAGTAATGAAATCATATCATGTATGTCTGTTGGAGTCAGGCTTTTTGTCCTTTGACAAAAATATCTGTGTCATTCATCCATGTTTTGGTGTAGCGGTAGTTCACTCTTTCCCATTGCCACGTAGCAGTCCACAGTATGAACATCAAGATTTATGTATTATTCATTATTCAGTTGATAGGCATATGGATTGTTTCCAGTTTTTGGTTATTAAGAATAAAGTCAAGGGGCCGGCCCTGTGGCTGAGTGGTTAAGTTTGCGTGCTCTGCTTCGGCGGCGCAGGGTTTCACCAGTTCGAATCCTGGGCGGGGACATGGCACCACTCATCAAGCCATGCTGACGCGGCATCCCACATGCCACAACTAAAAGGACCCACAACTATGTACCCGGGGGCTTTGGAAGAAAAAGGAAAAAAGTAAAATCTTTAAAAAAAAAAAAGAATAAAGTCACTACAAACGTCCTTGTGTCTGTCTTTCGGTGGACATAGTCACCCATTTCTGGCAGGTATACATCCTGGATGCAGAAGATGCAAATGTTGTTTCAGTAGATACTACTAGACAGTTTTTCAAAGGGGATGCACAATTTACATTATTAGCAATACATACAGGAGACTTCTAGATACTCCACATCCTCTGACCAACTCTTAGCATTTCGTCCTTTTAATTTTAGAGGTTCTGGAGTGCGCGTAGTAGTGGCTAACTGTAGTTTTAATTTTGCAATAAATCCTGACTATTTTAAGTATGACCTATTTTATAGAGGATTTCAGAGATACAGAAACTTGGCCTACAGCACTTGAAGGTAACAGTGACACAGGAATACATTATTTAACACCAACGAGAAAGTTAGGAGGAAATATTCTGATGAGCATGTAACCACAGGCCCTCTAGGACCAGTTCAACTGACCCCACCTTATCAACAGAATAATTAAGAGTTGTCTCTCAGGAACTGACCCTCTTTGTTCATTTCACGCTGGTTGAGAACACCAACCC